GCCTAACTCCGGTTGCCAGTCTGCCTGCGAAGTATAGCAACTACTGGCAAAGGCTCCCTTTGTGGGGGAGGCATATGTTCAGCAGTGAACATTAACAATTGAAGTCATAATAAAGATTTGATATGTCGTTCAAAATTAACTTGATCGTGTGAGTAGATCAAAATTGTGTATGTAGGTATGAAAAGATATATATAATTTATACAAGAGATATAGTAACTGTAGCCTCTTACAATCATATCAACTACACAGGCCAACAGATTCCAGGGTAACAGGCGGTAGGGGTCCACCCCTTAATTTAAGGCGAGTTTGTTTTACTTTGTATCTTCTACTGCCTGTATAACAGATTGTGTTCTGAAGAACTCTTCAATATGATGTCCATCGCTACCTGTCTTCATTGTACCGCTAGCAATCGGTGGGGAATCCATCCTCACAACTTAGAACCAGAATGGACACGTACAGTGCGGTTTCAGAGTAGTAGTAAGTAGTATTTTATTTTTTTATCACTTCAGCCTCAGGTCGAGTCCTTCCTGCTGGTTCGGGTATCGGTGTCTCTATCTGGGGAGTTCATCGGGATCCCCACTATTGGGGGCCAGATGCGGAGCACTTCGACCCCGATAGGTTTCTTCCGGAGCGGTTTAATCTTGCGCACACTTGTAGCTACATGCCTTTCAGCAGTGGACCGAGAAATTGTCCAGGTGAGTGTCTAAATATATTGTGAATAGAAAAGGTCACTCCTTTCTTCCCGTGTGTGTCGCAGGAGGTGACTAAGAGAGCTTAATAGTCGAGGCATAGGCAGCAGCGTTCCTTTTTAAATATCTTTATAGCCAAACTGCGGTCGCTAACCTATGCTCTACACGTATGAAATGCAATATAATCGTTTCGAATTTTGCTTGCCATAATACCTATTGTGAAAAGCTGCCTTACATTTTATGCCGCGAGGTTATGTTCTAACTTTTTATCTAGTACGCAATTACTTATTGTGTTATTAATATTATTATAAAAAATCTTTAACAGTCTTTTACTTTATTTAAAATATACAATGGTATCTAATCTATACAATAATCTTTTTACTTACTATATTTTATTTTATAAATAAACGCATGCGTTTGTCATAAAGTAGGTAAATTATGGATTAACCTTATAAAAGTTAACAGGCAAAATAATTTACTGAAATGGCAATTTTATATTTTTTCAACTGATATGAACACAGTTGATATCTTTAGTTAACTTAATAAATTATCAGTACATTCATATACTTAATTACGTAAGAGAAGTACTAGTGTATTGTACTTTAGATAAATGATATTATTATTTTATGGTATTTCCCGTGTATCCAGTACGGCTGCATAAATTCTTTAAATAATACACATACCATATAATTTTCTGTCGTGTTAATTCTATGCAGTGTAATTTACTGACTGTGAACAATAATTGTCACTCACACATAGTATCTATTGTATTATCTGTTCTACAATAGTCTAATGAACTCTATTCTACAAGTTGTCCAACGAACATGTCTAAATGAAGCAATGCAAATGTAGTAGTTTGGGACTTGTTAAAGAAGTTGGATCTTAGAGTGTGCTACTATTACTTATACTGTAGTGCTACTATAGCCAGTCTCAATAGAACTTAATGACAAGGTAACTAAGTATTGTTGAAATTATCCTATATACAGTCTTTAAAAAAATTAACAAATTGGGGCTGGGCCAATTTCATAATATTAGGTCTGAAGAACTCTTTCCTAAGGTTCGTGTAAACTGTAGACATTTTATGTGATAATAATATTTCCTTTCGCGTCATTATCAATTCTATGTATCTAATATGATGAGATGAAAATGTATGCCAACAATTATCCTACGTCTGCATAAGCCTTAAATTGTATCTATATTGGCGTATGTTCTGAAGCATTAACACTGCTTTACATTTCATTTTGGATGATCCACATTAAATAGTTTTGCTAAACTATCAAATTAAAATTTTAAAAGAGATAAATTTAGGGAATAGTATCTCAAAATCAACCACATTGTATCTTATTAAGCGTTTACAAACATTTTCAATTCTTCTGTAATTTTTTGGGATCAGTGACAGACGACGATGTGAATCACATCAAGTAACGACACCTTTGTTATTTATGAAGTGTGAGTTACTCTTGAAATAAATTCCAATAGATCGATATTGGAATTGAAACGATTCATACTCTCGAATTGCAATAACTCGCAACATAATGGTTCTATACAGTTCTGATAGATGCATATTAGTGCAACTTGTCAATGCAAACTATTGCAAAGTGATTCCAATTTTAACTTAATTCTTAATTGTTATTTCATGTGCACACATGTCATTGATTGTACAAAATTGTCATTGATTTTAAATTGGATTGATATTGATGTTAAATTCAAGAGAAGGTCTGCTGATTTTGATAATTCTTGCATTCGATTTGTTTTTTTTTTTATGTCAAAATGATAAATTAACTGATCCCCCACCCAATGAAAAGCGGCGATCTCCACCTATAAATATGAATAAGATCATGAATAGAGACAGCGGCACAGTTGTAAAAAGACAAAAATATACAATGGATATCGGAAAATATTCTATAATCCCAATGGTATCCCTCATTTATTGATATTTTTTTAATAATAATAAAAAATAATAATAAATTTAATAATAGCTACAATAAAGTTATTATTATTATTATTATTTATTGATATTCCCGAGGATTATCTTACTATTCTATGACAAGTTTGTTCCCGTGTTGATCATGATTTTATTCACTATTTATTTTTGGAATAAAATCTTTATGTTACAAATATTTTTGTTTTCAGGATATCAATATGCCCTGATGTCTATGAAGACCGCGTTGTCGACCATACTCAGATCTTACAAGGTGGTAGGGGAGCGGGAGCCTACTACTATTCCTCACATTCGAGTCAAAGTAGATATTATGATGAAGGACGTTGACGGATATTGTGTGGCTTTGGAGAGACGAATGCCAACATCCACAAGAAAATAATAAATATCGCCGGACTTATTACACTAGCGTTATTTAGTAACAAACTAAATTGAACTTGTACTATAGATACTTTATTTCGTAAATACGTATATATTTTATACCGATACGAGATAGTAACCTTTAAGAAAAGAGCATATTCCTTTGTAAAAGGCCGGCAGCATACGCGCAATTCCTCTGGTTTTGCGGGTGCTCATGGGCGGCAGTAGTCAGTTGTGCCGCATGCTCGTTGCCCCCTGTGTTATAATAAAAATCTTATATGTACATATTCATGAATACAAATGTTTGTACTGTGGGGGAATCGAACTCGCGACCCCTGGAATATAACCTTATCTTCCAGGTGTGTGCAAACACTAACAAAATGCGCGTTAGTGTTACAATATTATTATTAAGTATAATTTAATGAAGTAAAACGGTCTGTTATTAAGAAAATTACTTTGGGGTTGTTTAAATGGATAAAGACCAGATGAGCAACTACTTTTTATTTTTTATTATATAATATTCTAAGCAAATAAAATAAATTATGTACAAAGTTCTAATTGGACTTTCTTTTTCATTCGACACATAATAAGTATTGTCTATGTACTTTCATAATAATCGGTGGGGATTACTGTCCCATTTGCCAATAATTAAATATTATTTATTGTAAACATATAGTAATAATAATAAATGATAAATTAGAAATAATGTAAGCAAAGGTGAACTTATCTCTAAAAGAATTCTCTTCTAGTTATTCTAATGCAGTGGCATAGGAAGTAATAAGTGGGCAGCAGAAGCCATTTATTCTGTCTAAAGACTGTTAAAATTGGGAAGTAGTGGTTGTTTGTTTTATTGGAACCCAATGAAATGAACATAATGTACTAGAGGAAGACTTTGTACAAAATTCGATTGCTTGGGTACCTCTGTCGCATTTGTGTTTCTGTCGTGAAGCAGTCGTGTTTGCATGGCTGTGTTTCGGTTTGCAAGGTGGGATATGGTAGTGAAATTATAGTATACGTGCTTTACCTGAATGTAACAGAGAAAACAATTTCATATTTTACTCGGTGTTAATAACAAATTTGCAACTTTGTGTTAAACTTATTTAAGCAGGCGCTTCCTTTTTTTTATAATTATTGTATAGTCTATTATTGTAAACTAAACTTAAACGTATTTATCATCGAATATCAGAGTTTATTATTAATAAATTCCATTGTATTCACGACAAAACATTGAATAAATTATTCAAAGATAATTAGAAAATTCGAAGTCAAAAATACTGTCATTGTTACTAATTCTTGATAAGGATAATTTAATACGAATGGGAGTGTGAGTACGCAAAGACGCTTCAACCTATCCATACAATAAAAACATCCAATGTTCCCATAAATAGTAATGGAGCAAATTAATATTTAAAATAGAGCGCATTCGCAACATGCACGTTGGCCCACAACTGCTTCTAGCAACAATCAGATAAACTGTTTGGCCAATTAAGGATAGGTTACTAGCACGAGTAACCGTATGTAAATGCATATGTTGTTGACGGGTTCTAGGAAAAATCATTATTGTCAAAAACGTGTGACATACCTAAAGAATTTATTTTATGCAAGATTTTTCTTTCAAATCTGTTGGTATTAACATGGCTAGACCTTCTTTTAAATTAAATCGAAAGGGACGAGGAGCTAAATTATCTAAGTCTTATTTATGGATGGGGGAAAAGGGATTGTTAGCAATGGTGTTTGACAGCCCCCTAGCAATATGCTTATTAGGTGACCTCCACGTGGTTCCCCCTGGAAACCATCGTGAACAATTCTTGTTGAATTCTTCATGATGGGCTAACTGACTTACTTCATCCTATATATCCTTCATTTCACTCACCCATAATGAGAACATTCCTTCGCTTAAGGTGTATACGATTTCAAGCGGTGTTCTGGGTGAAATACCATTCCATTATCATTCATTAAAAAAAGTTTTATTTATGTTTTTCTCCAGATGTCCGCAAACTGGACGTGATATATCAACGCCAAGAACTTCTAAACTCGATTTATTATCAAGGGAAGTGCCTTAAAAATGAAAAGATTAGACAAATAGCATCTTTTTTATGGTAAACGATCAGAGTTATGTCTTCTTAGGGTTGAATTGGACAAGATTGTGTTCGCCCCATATTAAAACTTGATAGAGTGAAGTTTTGATTTTAGACACAAGTCTATTCCGGCACTTATTGGTATGTACCCGTGTGTTGTTTGCAAGACCGGTATATTATGCATCCCCTGTACTGTCATCCGTATCATCAACATTTCATTATCTGACCACTGCTGTACATAGGCCTCCCCCATAGATCGCTATAAGGAACTGTTCTGAGCCGCCTGCATCCACTGTCTCCCTGCAATGTATTTAAGGTCATTACTTCATCTAGTGGGTAGTCGTTCTAAATTGCTCATAAGAGGTTGCCACTCAAGAATCTTTCTTCCCCGTCGGTTGTCGGTTCTTTGAGCTATGTGACTAGCCCATTGCTACTTCAGCTTGCTTATCCTTAGAGCTATTACGGTTATTTTCATTCTTTTGCGGATTCGTTTCTTGAAGCATAGCCCTTTCCATAGCCCGTTGAGTAACTTGAAGCTTTTGCATACGGGTAATCGTGTAGTTATCACTGTCAACAGCATGTCTTCAAACTTTGAGATATTTTGGATGAAAGATTTATCGAATGCTGCCCAGCCGAATTGGATTCGTCGGTTTACCTTTCGGTCGAGTTGGACTTACCTATTCGGATAACTTGTCCCAAGTATACATACTTGTCGGTATCTTCGAACGTAGTGTTCTCAATCGTAACTAGTATAGGTGTGACATGGACTTTAGACATGATTTTAGTCTTGTCCATGTTTATCTTAAGTCTACCTGTTGAGAGATACTACTAAGGTTATTAAGCATAGTATTCAGATCTTCCAGGGATTTTTGTGCTAGGTAAAAATGGTATGGTAACCCTGCCTGCGCTAACGGGATACGCTGGCGGAGCACCAGTGAAGGGTGATAGATGAGAATAAAAACAGGCCAGTTAGCCCATCATGATGAATTCATCAGGAATCAACCATGATAGTTTCCAGGGAGAACTGCGAGGAGGTCGACCTGGTTGGGTATATTGCTAGCAATAGGATTCTCAGTTTCCATTGCTAACAATCCCTTTCCCCCCTCTTCCAGGGATTCCGCTATGATTACTATGTCATCGGCAAATCAAAGATGAGTGATGTATTCGCTATTAATGTTCATACTATATCTTATGCAGATCAAGAGTTTGATAATATTTTCCAATGCAGCTGTGAAGAGTTTTGGGGATATAACATCACTCTGTCTTTTTGACAGATATTCGACAGCTTGATCGATATATCTGGTGACCAAAGGGCTAGCGCGTACTTTTACCACGGTACAAATTACTAGTAAACATGACCCACAATCTTAAATCGTCAAGATGTATTTTAAAAATAGTTGTTATGTCTTTTTGTAACAAAATAAAACTAATATATTGTTTCAATATCTATTTATTATTATAAAAATTGCATTTAAATTCAATATAAATATTTCTGCAGGTTAATCACAAAATTGTCGCAACTAATATCAATTAATATTTTCAATTAAATGTAGAAAAAAAAGTAAAAATATTTTCGATTTAAATCTGTAATTTTCCTGATATTTCATGTCATTTTACCATGTTTTCAAAAATTCTTAGTTTATATGAGAACTTTTATTTAAAGGTCTGCTGCTCCTCTCCCAGCTACGGCCATGCATGACTTCATTAGTTACATTTACTATAGTTAACCTATTGAACTAGGCGATGATTAAGTAGTACATTGGCACTACGATTATTTTGTTTATTGCATTATACTATATTTAAATAAATAGTGGATAAGATTATGGGCTTAGATAATACAAAATACAGTAAGCTATTAAAAGAATTTTGACTGTATTAAAATTTATTAAAAGTATTTAACTATGTTAAATGCAATGTAAACGATCCACTATTAAATGAACGGATGTGTAGAAAAAGTCGTGGATAGTGGGCTGTATATTTGGCGCTATATATTTATAAAAATACCAAATAATGACAGCGTATATTCGATGCTTATAGTATATACGAAGAGAGGAAAAGAGATCGTGGCACAGAGCTGCCATAAATGGGAGAAAAACATAAAAACATTGTTATTTAATAAAATTTTTGGATTACCAACACGACGGTCTCAAATGTGTTGTAAAGACTGGATACTAGTAGATTAGGACAGCTTCTTATGATAGTCTATAGATGTCTGTATATTCAGCAAGACAGATTCCACAGTCATAAGGATAGGACAGGAGGAGAAGCTTTCGATTAGGAACTACGCTGTCACGTAAATACACAGATACATTTATTAAACTTGTAAGTTCTTATTTGTTTGTTTGAGTCGGCATTTAAAAAGAAAATTTGTGTTGGGAAAGTCATGTATTCGTTTTAAATTTTTCAATAAATATTTTATTGCTAAGATTAAGTGCATTAAAAAGGTATGAAGTGCGACAAAATTATTTGCTTTACTTATCCATATATCCTGAAGGTTGCATTGTTACATTATCGCCATGATCTCATTGACCCCGAGTCACCGATATTGACACTGAGTTTACCTACACTTCAGTTGTCGACTTTAAAAGACTCGAGCGAACAAATTATAATTACACCGCCGCGTATACGCTAACGCAATAGGTGCATTACATTTATATTGTTTTAATTGTGGTCACAGACGTTTGTATATGTTAAAATGCTGTTGTATTTGATTGCTGGAGTATTGGTGGTGTGGACGGTGGTGTACAAGTATAGAAGATGGAATTTGTACAAATTAGCTTCAATGATCCCGGCGCCCACAAACGAGTGGCCGATGATAGGTGTAGCGCACACGCTGTCTGGAAGCACCGAGGGTAAGTATTTTAAAGTAGCTGTATTTTACGGTTATAACTAGGTGAATTAGAGTAAAAGTTTTATATGTGTTAATACAGGATGGTTTACAGACAGGTGTTAAGATTCTTCTCCGTATCAAATTTCTTTGATGTCACTAAGAAACTATTCTTTGTGTTAAGTTAGGATATCATTTATAGGTGTACTAAATTGGGTTCAAATCTGTTGAGCCATTTAAGTGTGATCAAGAAATAAATATATAAATATATTTACAAACATTTATAATATTGGTAGGGTATATTATAACACAGCTGTGTAAACATTACTTCACGTTATAGTCTAAATGTATTCAATTTGTAATAAGATTTTGCTCCAAAAATAAAAACACCAAATCAATCGTAACCAATCTGCATAATGAAAAAGGCATAACTATAATTATTAATCAGTTATTTTTAATTAAAAGTCAAGCTACTGAAACGGTTTTCATGAGATTTCTATTTGATCAATCCTTTTAAATAAAAAAGAAATTCTTTAAATCGGTTTATTAATGTCGGAGTTATGAGGTAATAAACCAAATTGAATACTGCTTTTTCGGATGTTGTGTACAATATAAAATGATCTAGGATTTTTCTACACATCACTTCATACAATGAAATGTTAAGGTGTAGCTATCCCGTAATTGGAATAAATTATTAAATAAATAAAACACAGTCTGATTTTAAGTTTGGTTAACGTTTTTGCATTAGTCAAATTTTTGATAACACGGACACACACGGTTATATTTTATAACACAGAGTAACTAATAAGGTCTTTATTCGTGGGCTCGCTAGCTTCATTTTAGATCATGTCATCGTTTTCCATCAGGTGAGTAGATTTTTGTCTGTCTGTATGTTTGTTTTCGCATTATGTAGAAAACTAATACACCAAGTTGAATATCATTTTGTGAACATGGATAAAAGTTTTTCATATAAAACGCCGACGTACAAATGATTAGGTGTTATTTAAAAGATGATGATGATGTTTAACATTATTAAAGAATTGGGAGAAATTTAAAGTGACATAGAAGATTTCGGTATTGCCTATGCCATCTATACGATTTCATTCATAATTTCTGTCGTTAACGATCTACTACTGAACATAAGTCTTCCCCATAAGGGAAGTTTCGCCAGTGGTTGTTACACTTGGCAGGCGGGTTAGCAACCGCAGTTAGACTTTTAGAGATTCCTCCCTCCACTATTAAGTTCTCTTAGGCGCGTTCTACATCCATAGGAAAAGAAGGGGTGGCCAATTCTATGCCGGGACTACTCGGCTAATACTATTAGCTATATGATTTCATTACTACCACTTACCTTTTACCTTCATTTTTGTTTAGTATCTCTAAACACTGAAGGAGGCCTATATTAAATAGGGACAGATAACGACTGATGTGGGGATGATGAAACAAATAAAACTAAAATTTTAGGAGTACTTGTTGTTGAACTTGATTTAATTAGGTATGTATACATTTAATGACATGTTGCTTTTATTGACCTTGTTATAATTAGTTTGTCTGCTTAAGAGATTGCTTCTAGAGATAAGGCCGCCTTTTGTATATGCACATTCTGTATAAATACTCCTTGTATAAATTTCTACTGTGCGCAATAAAAAGTTTATTATTAGTTTTGCCTTTTATAATATTTAATACGAACTGCTAACGAATGGAATACACTTTCTGCTTCTGTATTTCCGGGGAAATACAATCTGGATTCTTCAAGTCGATGGTAAACAAGTATCTTCTAGGTAAGTGCGCGTGCTAGATCTTATCATTACTTACCATTAGGTGACGTAAGATGAAGCGCATCTTGTAATAAAAAAAATTGTTTTTTTTTATGCAACTTAGAATGACAAACAAGCTGACGACCCACCTGAAGGGAAGTGGTAATCGTCGCCTATAGATATGAGCAGTATCATGGAGAGAGCAGAATATACTGTTTCGCCCATGATACCCCCATGCATTGTCATTCCTAATGATTCAAGTATCCTGTAAATTCACTGCCATATTCCATCCTTCAAATCGAAACACAGCCATGCATGGGACAGAGATGTTCAAGCAATCGACTTGTACAAAGTCTCCCTCTAGTCTTAAGGTAAGAATATTTTGTGATAAAACAATAAATTATTTTCTTTGTAGATATAATGGCATCGTTACAGAAGATCAGTTACGAGGCAATGGATAATGATGGAATGATAAAAGTCTGGTTGGGTCATATACTTTACTTTGGTGAGTTTATTCATTGTTATAAATAAAGTTGATTATAAATTCATTGTTATAAATGAAGTTGAACAAACCAGAAGAAGAAACTATTATAAAATGATAAACTAATACAGCTTATAAAGGTAAGTAATATTCATTTGATTTAGTGTCCGATAACTGTAATGGACCCCTTCCTTTCTCGTGGGTGTTGTAAGAGACAACTGAGAGAGCTTATGGGCAGCAGCGTCTCTTTTAAAATATCTAACTGCGGTTGCTAATCCGCTCGCCAAACGTGGCAACTTATGTTCAGCAGTGGACAGTTAAGGGCTGAGATACAAACTGTAATGAAATGCATTAAATTTTAAGCAAAGAAATAAAAAATATTCTACAATATTGTTTGTTATTTTGGGAGATATTTTGATTTCAATTTTTTTTATTTGATAGTTTTTTTTTGTGTGAATACTGGATGTTACTTTTTTTTATTTTACTTGTTTCTGTTATTTTTTTTTATATATTTATAACTGATAAATTTGATATTATTTTGTTAGTGGTGGTAAATCCATTGGACTTGGATGTTTTGATGAAAACTTGTTTAGAGAAAGATGATTTACACCGTTTTATCAGAAAGATAATTGGGAATGGAACTGTATTTGCTCCAGGTAAGGACGATAATAACGAATAAAATGTACCAACAAATAAATTATATATTATAAATTGATGTGTGTGGTTCCCGCATACAATATAATATTTTGGGTGTTGTAAGAGGCGACTAAGGGAACTTATTGGTTGAGGGCTGGGCAGCAGCGTCCCTCTTAAAACGTTACCAAAAGCTTAAGTGTGGTTGCCAACTCGTTTACAAGTGCCTACCGTCAACAACCCCTTATGTGGGAGGTCCTTGTTCAGCAGTGGACAGTTAATGGCTGATATGATGATGATATTATAAAAAAAATATTATAAAGCAAATGTGTATGTGAAATACACATTTGCATTATGACAAATTAAGTTTTTGAAAAATAGAAACAGAGTATGTGACAAAATTTTTATGGGATAAGTAATTACGGTTAAATGCAAAAATAATCAACAATTTTAGTTTTGAATTTGTAAAGATACTGCGTAACATAAAAAAAAAAACAGTTAAATTGAGAACTTATTTTCTTACTATTATTATTACTATAAAAAGATAATTGCTTTTGTCGCTAATTGATGAAAATATTCAATTAAAATGATAACTTATTTAAAATATTCACTTATTATTGATTTTATTATATGTATTTTGAAATAATATTTAATATTGATAAAAGTGTCTTCAATTTAATTTCTTTTCCGGACAGTGTCGATTTGGAGAAAACGACGCAAAGTCTTGGTGCCAGCTTTTAGTCCAAAGATTGTGGAGAGCTTCGTGGATGTGTTTTCAGAACAGAGTGTCAAATTGACCAAACAGCTGGAAAAGCAAGTCGACAAAGGTCCATTTAGTTTATGGCCTTTTGTAAGCACCTACACCCTTGATTCAGTTTGTGGTAAGATATTTTTTAATTGCATAGTCTAGAAGGTGTGTTGTTATCACGTTCACCTTAATTTTTTTAAGTCACAAAATTATTATTGGAATACAATATTTATATATTAATAATATTGCATGTCATGTGGCACCAATGAGAGATGATCACCATCCCACATTGGTGTTGTCTCAACGTCTGATCAGATGGTTCATCGTGACAAATTTATTAGGTATTAATCAAGATGGTTTCTTGCGGGACCGCGTAATGTCGATCTAGCTGAAGATACTACAAGTCCTTATTATTAATCTCGCCGTTTTCTCCTCGTTGAGAGATATTTTTTTTATATGACGGCGATAGCTAAGCTGAACATATTGACATAGATTTTATTTTTGTTTGTAATAAATAATGTACTCTACATTATTTATTTTTCAGAGAAATTATGGCTCGTTGTTTAAGTCTGTGATATATATATATATATATATATATATATATATATATATATATATATATATATATATATATATATATATATATATATATATATATATATATATATATATATATATAACTAAAGTAATATAAATAATAAAGTAATTTCTTTATTATTTATATTAAATATTTATTCATTTGAATTATTATTGTATTTAAGAAACGGCGATGGGTGTTAAAATGAATGCTCAGGAAAATCCAGATTCTCCATTTTTGATTTGTTTGAATCGCATATTAAATTTGGTGTGTAAAAGAATATTCCACTTGTGGCTTCAGCCTGAATGGTTATTTAAACTGTTCCCACAGTATATCGAGCATCAAAAGTGTTTAAATGAAATGCATGAATTCGTTGATAAGGTAAGTTGAACATTAATTAAGTTTAGAAAAAAAAATACCTGTATAAAGCACGTCATATACGTACCGTGTCGTCGAGTGCTAAGATTCTGAGGTTTTCAGAAAGCTTAAAAACATATTGATTGCGTGGTGATGTGCAATGACTTTTTTAATAATAATATTACGAGAATGTGATTATGCTATCCTGAGCAAACACATGCTTCCAAGAATGTTAATGGCTCATTTATTATCATGCAATTTGGTATACACGTAATCACTGAGATAAAGAAGGAGATAGGCCGCATATTTCTTAGTCAATTATTGTATCTTGGACATGCAAACGTTTTTATTGAAATATAGTAAAGAATTGTTGTCATTTTGCTTTTAGGTAATAAAGATGAAACGGGCTGATATGAAGACTGAAAGTAAGTCTAAACCTGAGACAGATAAAGTATATGGTAAGTATATGGTAAATAGTTTTTACTCGTGGGGAGGCCTATGTTTATATATGGTATATACATTAGTTTTTATAATGTGTTCCAATAAAACTTAATGAAAAGGTAACAAAATTTTGTTGAAATTATTTAAAATAGATACATTATTTAAATGAAATTAGTGACAAATCGAAATATTCAGTCAATAATCGAATTCTAGTTTGTAGTACTATTGGACATCAGGGGACAGTCTTATGGCCCAGTAAATTTTTCAATAGTTGACATATTCAAACAGATAGTATACTGAGATTGGAGAGAAGGATTTAATGATTAAAAGTGAACCTAAGCTATTTGGACCTACACCTGCGTACTTGTGAAGGTTGTTTTTAATTGAACGGTAACCCTGCCTGCGCTATCGGTATACGTTGGCGGGGTATCAGTGATGAATGGTGAGGATGAACTCAGGTCAGTTAGTCTTGATCATTAACAACTCTCTTCTCTCTGTGTAGCTTGTATGTTATAGCAGACGATTTAATTTTTATCGGCAAAAAGTACATCAAAAAGATTTATAAATCTTCTTCTTAATTCGTATATAAAGATATATAAAAATTGCCTGAGTAGTTTAATTTTGAAATTAAAATTATTGGTTTTACCACAGTTGAAGTTGGTATTTTTGTGGAATACAATCTTATTTTACAGATTTAGGGCAATACAAAATGCAATCGTTCCTCGATTTATTAGTGACACTTTCTGGCGGCAACACTGGCGGCGGTTACACTGACATAGAGCTCAGGGAAGAAGTTCTTACATTAACTATAGCGGGGACCGACACATCAGCGGTTGCTATTGGATATGTCTTCAAGCTTCTGGCCAAATACCCTGACGTACAAGAGAAAGTTTATCAAGAGTGAGTATTTTCATTTAGGTCTGTTATAAGTATGAAATAAAAGATTAATTAATTTAAAATAGCTTTTACATGCGACTTCATCTCAGTCCAGTACATACTGGGGTATGTTTAATGCCGGTTTTTATAAAGTGTCATAGAAATTTTATATTTATTTATATATTATTTACCAGGTTGTGTAAAGTATTTGGCGACTCCAATCGTCCTGTGATCAAAGAAGATTTACCCAAATTAAAATATTTAGAAAGAGTTGTTAAGGAAACACTTCGACTTTTTCTACCTGTACCCTTTGTTATAAGAAAAGTGCTGAATGACATCGCTTTACGTAAGTTAATGAACACTTTGAAATAACTATTATTATTTCTTTATTTATAGATACAAATTAAACTATTGGTATAAATTTGACTTCAATAGATGATCAGTTTTATTTGACCTTTGTTATTATATATTTTTAAGTTATATATGTTTTCCGTGTGGTACCAACATACAATGGGTCAACCTTTCCTTTTTCGTTGGTGTCGTAAGAGGCAACTAAAGGGCTTAATGGTTGAGGGATGGGCAGCAGCATTCCTCTTAAAACATCACTAAAGCCTAACTGCGGTTTGCCAGCCTGTCTGCCAAGTGTAGCAACTACTGGTAAAAGTCCCCTTTGTAGGGGAAGCCTATGTTCAGCAGTGGACACTTAATGACTGAAATCACAATAAAGATCTGATATGTCTATCTTGATCATGTTCATATTCAAAATTATGTAATAGGTATGAAAATATACAAAAGGAAACCGTAGACTCCTACAGTCATATCGACTACACATGGTTTATGGTTACTTGTACCGGGATCGTAAGAGTCCTCACAAATTCATGAACTATTACAATATTACTATCATATTATAACTGTTCATTATTATGAAATAAAAAAAAATCAGCTGTAATAAGTTCAAATATAATATTTGTTCTGTTAAGTTACGTAAAAATATCAAATGATGCTGTATGCTTGTTTGTAAATATTGTTTCTAAATATTCCATGGCAAGTAGCGCCTGAGATGTTTGTTTAATTATGTTGTTGCTGAAAAATGGTTAATTGTACATAATTTACATTAGACACGATAAAAGATAAATCTTTAATTGTGAATCTTTTATCGCCATTGTACTCGTATATTAAAACTATACTTAAAGGATTTTATAATTGTATATTTAAATGATTTTAATGATTGTGCCATCTTCAAAATATTAGGAAGTGAGTTCCATAGACGTTCATCATGTACAGTGAATGACTTGGTATATAGCTTTGTATATTAAAATAAGGCAAATCCAAAAAGAAGTCATTACTGCATCTCAGGTGGATATCAACCTCGCGAAATTTGAATCCTTCCCGAAGGTAATATGAATATGTTGTATTAAAAAGAACAAAGGTATTAAAAAAGATTAAAAGAGACAACAATAACAGTAATATTATTGTAATATTTCGTTACATATATAACGATTGTTTACAGAAACACTTTTATCAGATTTCTCTTGCTCCTTTTATTTATAGCCGCCAGAAGATAGCATAATTTCTAGAAACGATATGATAAAATTATTTATTGAAATGTAGATGGAAAAGGTCGTAAATATTTGAAGTGTAAAGGACAGTATCTTTATATAAATGTTTGCTTGTGTAATGGTTTTGTTTGTACAGTCTGCTGCAGAAATCAAAGAATAGATAATAAATTATAAGAAAAGTGAATACTAAAAATAATCAAAAATTATTTGACGCAGTAAAATATCTGATAAGGTTACAATTTCAAAGTTACAAGAACGCAAACGTTAATATCACATAAAATGCAAAACGTCATTACGCCATAAGACCCTAAACATGATTATGCATAAATCGTTGAACTGCATGCTACAAAAGTTGTAGAACAAAAATAAAGAATTAACATTGAACACAAAACTCGTATTATTAGATAAGTATACCTAATAATGCATGTACCAATTGTATCGAAATTAATAAACAAAGCATGACTGACATGCTTAACCTTGTTGGTTTTATGTGAATGGTGTGGACCATGAAAGTTATCAAACCCTTTAATGAATTAATTAATCAGCATACATCCCATGACATTTGCTTAAGGGCATTCCCTTACGACATACATTAAAATTAATTTTATCTTTCTCAATATTAACTATGAACGTGAAAATGATGATAAACATTTACAACTAACCCATTCAATACTAGTTGTACACACGATAATAACACTAGTTGTGTGTGTGTGAGTGATTGACCGGGATAAAATGGAAAAGTAAAGTATATATCAGGATAAAATGTAGTTATGCTTGCAACATATAAGGCAAAACTTTATGCCAATTGGGTAGTTAAAGCATTAAAAGGTACTAAACAAATAAATATTTCTTATAACTTTCGTATTTATAATATCAGTAAGGATTATCTAAAAAGTGTCGTGCAATATGTTTCTAATGAAATAGTATTGAAGATATTAAAAAAGATTTTATGTAGTTGTAATGTAGTTGAGTAAGTTGTACTTTTGTTACCTGCTACCTTTTTAAGTTACTGATGCTAGACTTATTCTATCCCCTTTGTTTATATTTACTATCATATATATCCACAAAAATTATATTATATTAGCTTTATTAAAATAACATAGATGGTCCAATTAGGATTTTATTGTATTAAGTGAAATTGGATTGGAAAGGTTTTTGTGTAGTAACTTCTTACCGAAAATTAAAGCAAAGAGGATTCATGCATGAGTTGCACTTGCTCCGTGATTAATTTTCCAACTGCAGATTTTTTATCGTATTGAAGCAATTTCAAATTGAAGCAACATTTAAACTTCATATTTATAATATGCTTTCAGAAATAATTGTTTTATGAAATTACTGATTAAAATACCAATTAGCGTATTGAATATATATTTTTAAATAGTACTACAAAAATTAAATCTTATGGTAGAACACAATTGTATCTTGTTATTGCGCTGTGTGTGCGCGGGTAAAACGTGGATAATGTAAGGAACAAATGATAAAAATGTTAAATAAAATAATAGGTTGGCTCGCAATTACTTATTGTATTATTAATAATATTATAAAAGATTTATTTAACTTTCTTTTACATTATTTAAAATAAACAATGGTGTGTAATCTATACAATAAAGATTTTTTTCTTACTATTTCTATTTTATAATTATATTTTACAAATAATTTGTCAAATAGAAAAGTAACTATAGATGATTTTTTTCATGAATATACGAGTATAAATACCGGTTTAGACTACAAAATGCGTACTGTATAAAACCATCTTTTAAATTTCTCTAGGACATAATCTTGTACAAAGGTACGTAATTATGCAACCAGGGATCATTAGAAAATGATTTAAATAATGATGATATTCTTATATACAAATTTATTATTTATAAATTTATAGTATAAATAAAAGGAATAAATATGTTCACGATTATGATCAATACTAGAGTCAATTGTATTTGTCGATTTTTATGACGAATGAAACTCTCGTCATATCAATATTTTGCCGTGCATACTAGAAAGTTATGTGGTAAAAAGTGAGCCTACTACCATTAATTAGGTTTGTATTTAGTAATTCCCATTACCAGATTGTTAGATGGAAATAAAAATTTATACAACGTTTTTCGTGTATGCCAGATTCAAACTCCCGATTCTAATAATATCGTATGTGTAGTATAAATAATGTACTTTTTTTTATCATTTCAGCCTCAGGTCGAGTCCTTCCTGCTGGTTCGGGTGTCGGCGTCTCTATCTGGGGAGTCCATCGCGATCCCCACTATTGGGGTCCAGATGCGGAGCACTTCGACCCCGATAGATTTCTTCCGGAGCGGTTTAATCTTGCGCACACTTGTAGCTACATGCCTTTCAGCAGTGGACCGAGAAATTGTCCAGGTGAGTGTCTGTAAAATACTATTACAAACTAGTGATGTATTGAATTGATCTGTTTTGGTAACATTTCCTTCGGAACTGGTGGTCTATACTTGTTATTTTTCACTTTTCCGGAAAAAACTTCATCCTCTAAGCACAGGTTATAGATGTGTAGCAGTCTTTAAAAATATAATCTAGAATACTTTTAGTTCGACAAACCATTTCGACTTTAGTTTTGTGAGTGTTTGATCCACGTCAGCCAGCTATACGTTGTCAATGTGTATTCTCGCTGAACCATTTGCATTTCACATCTCGACTACTGCTTTGTTTAAGTTGACTTCTACCGGCACGGTACTTTAAAATAATTGAAAGAATTCTACGAGTTTTGTACACATTGTTTCTCTTCTTGACTCACCCCATTTTTACAAAATTTTTGTTTTTTATATTTTGATTTTATTTTATATAATTTCAAAACGCTCCGATCCTCTATTAATTATTTTTATACTTGATCCTCATACTGTGTATGAGCTATTTAAAACATAGTTTTCATTCGTACCTTACACCTAGGAATGCTATGTAATCGTTTCGCAATTTGCTCGCCTTTTACCTATTGTGCATTACATTTTATGTCGCGAATTCATTCAGCACGTGTACCATTCGGGGTAATTGTACCTCGAGGTTACATGTCTTAGCTTTTTATTTGGCTCGCAAATACTTAGTGCATTATTAATAATATTTCAAAAATATTTGTAACATTTTTTACGTTAGTTAAAATATACAATGAAAAGATTGCTTAGCGATAAGGCCACCTTTTGTATCATTTCTTATTACAGTTAATGTGTTTACTATTTTATAAATGGTGCAATAAAGTGTACATAAATAAATAAAAAAAAATAGTATCTAATCTATATAATAAAGTTTTTTCTTACTATTTTTATTTTATAAATAAACGCGTGCGCTCGTCATAAAGTAGGTAAATTACGGATTAACCTAATAAGAGCTAATAGTTAAAATACTACACTGAAATGGGAATTTTATATTTTTTTTAACTGAAATGAAGATAGTTGATGTTTTTAGCTAATAATAATCTTGTTGCATATATCTATAAACTGATTTATAACTTAATTAAGTATTAGTACATTCATATATGATTTTTTTGTATTGGTAGTAGGCAAGAGAGGTATTGTATTGTACTGATTATACACTAGTACAACACAAAATGAAAATTCTAATTAAAACTAAAACGACAAGTCATTGTTGTAATAGTAGGCTAATATATGAATACTTGGAATCCTGTAGACAAGTGACAAAATAATCTATCATTGGAATAGCTACCACTAGTGAGTTCGTGGAAAAGAGTAAGATATCGGATGTCCCTATCTCATTTTATCTTGTCACAGTTGTCTGGAGGACCTGTTATGAGGAGAGACTTACAATCAGTAGTAAAATATGTATAGGATAATAATGTAAGCGTTGTAGCTAATTTACTATAAAATATTAGAGACAGAAGAAAGTATGAAATGTTAAAAGTAATTAATTAAGAAGGTGAAGTGGTAATAAGACGGCACATAGCACGAAGAACTGAACACCGATAGGGTGAAAATGTTTTCGAGTGACAATTTCGTTCAATAAAAATTACAATATAGTAACCCTTTTTTTAATAAGATACACGCAACGTTTACTTTGTTACCTAGTGTGAAATCCTGGCAGCCGTGGAGGTTAAATAACTGACATGATAATGATGGTAAATATATCCCTGACAGATCTAAGTGCATTGGCCTGTCGTTGAATATTAATAAGTAAACAAATAATAAGTCTTTCGACATCGCCGTTATGATTACATAATTGTTGCAATTACAAAACTTGTTTTTATAATTGTATCAAGTCTGCAACAATAATTCATATAGGTCTTTAGGTGAATAATATCACTATTTTATGGTATTTCCCTTATATTACATTGTAGCCAATACGACAGCATAAACTCTTTAAATAATACACATACTATATAATTTTCTGTCATGTTAATTCTATGCAATGTAGATCAATTTACTGACTGTAGACAATAGTTGTCACTTCCACATAGTATCTATTATATTATCTGTTCTACAATAGTCTGATGAACTCTGTACTACAAGTCGTCCAACGAACATGTCTAGATAGAGTAATGTATCCCTGTAATGTATAACTGTAATGTAGTAGTTTGGGGCTTGGCAAAGACGTTGGATCTTAGAGTGTGCTACTATTACTTATACTGTGGTGCTACTATAGCCAGTCTCAATAGAACTTAATGAAAAGGTAACTAAGTACGTACTAATTCTTGAAATTATCTATATATATTACACTATATATTATATATATATAATATTAAAAAAATAGTAACAAATTGGAGCCGGGCCAATTTCATACTATTACATTTACAGAATTCTTTGCTATAGTTCATGTAAACTGTAGACATTTTGTCTGATGATAGAAATTCCTTTTTCACCAGTCTCAATTCTACGTATCCAATATGATGAGACGTAAATGTGTGCCAAGATTTAACTTACGTCTGCATAAGTCTTAAATTGTATCGATATTGGAGTACGTTCTGAAGCATCAACACTTTTCGTTTAATTTAGATGATCCATATTATAATCGTTTTGTTAAGATATCAAATTAAAATTGTAATTCTAGAGATAAGAATACAAAATGTTACCTCAAAACTACAACTACATTGTGTTTTATTAAACAGCTATAAACATTTTTATTTTTTCTGTATTTTTTTTGAGTATTAATGAAAGACGATTATGTGAATCACATTGAATGACGACGCCTTTGTTAATAACTTTGATAATTGTTCTTGCGTTCGACTGGTTTTTTTATGTTAAAATCAAAAACAATCTGATCATTTAGGCAATGGAAAGCGGTAACCGTCATCTATAAACATGACTAAAACTATGAATAGATACAGCAGTTGACTTCAGGTTTTTTTTTATTTTTTACACCACTGAGGTGGCAAACAAGTTATCGTAGCCTATGAACGCCTGTGGCATAACGCGTACTTTGTCGACCAGTTAAACTTACTCTTAGTAAAAACACAAAATATACCTTGGATATCAGAAAATATTATGTAATCCCAATGGTATCCCTGATTCTTTAATATTTCGGAGGATTTTCTTATTATTCTATGACAAGTTTGTTCTCGTGTTGATCATGGTTTTATTCACTATTAATTTTTGGAATAAAATCTTTATGTTACAAATATTTTTGTTCTCAGGATATCAATATGCCCTCATGTCTATGAAGACCGCGTTGTCGACCATCCTCAGATCTTACAAGGTGGTGGGAGAGCAGGAGCCTACTACTATTCCTCACATTCGAGTCAAGATAGATATTATGATGAAGGACGCCGACGGATATTGTGTAGCTTTGGAGAGACGAATGCCAACGTTCACAAAGAAAAAATAAACATCCTCGGACTTATTACACAGCGTTATTTACTTGCAATCTACTTGTACTTGTACTATATCTATAGTATATATACTAAACAACTGATAGAAATACTTGTTTTCGTATATAAATACATATATACTAATACAAGATAGCAACCTTCAAGAATAGAGCATATTCTTTTGTAAAAGGTTGGCAGCACATAATTCCTCCGGTGTTGCGGGGGGAGGGTAGTAGTCAGTTGAGCTCTCTTTTACTCCCTGAATTATACAAATATATTATTTCTGAATAGAAGTTTGCATTATGGGGGAATCAAACTCGTCGCGAGTTTGATTCCCCCGCTGGAAGACAAGGTGTGACAAATCGAGATATTATCGTGCTTGTTACAAAAACTTGTTGAAGATGTTGAACACCTATTTAACAAAATGATTTATTGAATTTATTGAAATAAAAGTCGGTTATAAAGAAATTTACTTCAGGGTTGTTTGAAGGAATATGAACAAGATGAACACGTTTGTTTTTTTTTTTATTTTATTATGTAATATTCAAAGCAAATAAAATAAGTTACCTTCAAAGCAAATCAATCGTTTCAAAGCAATTAAAATAATTTCTAATTGAACTTTCTTTTTCTTTCTGCACATAATTAGTATTGTCTATGTATTTTTGTAATAATCTATGATATGGAGATTACTGTCTCCTTTACTAATAATTAAATATTATTTAATGCTCTCATAGGTACATATTGTAATAATAACAAATTATAAATAATGTAAGCAAAGGTGAACTTATTTCTAAAAGAGTTCTCTTCCAGTTAACCTAACGCAGTGGCATAAGAGGTAGTGAGTGGGCAGCAGTAGCAATTTACCTTGTCGAGAAGTTGTTAAAATTGGGAACAACTACTACTGTTTGTTTTATTAGAACCTCATGAAATGAAATTGTAAATGTGTAAAGTAATCGTCGCCTGTAGACATGAGCAGTACCATGGACGTAGAGGATACAATCCCGGGATCCCGAATGACGGGATTGTATTCTTTACATGGACATAACAGTCTTTCGCCCATATTACTACTCAAACGTTGCCATTCTCGAGGACTAAGGTCTTAAGCCTCTGTATCTTGTAATTTCATTGCCATATCCTATACACATACACGACACACGCATGCACGCACGCACCCATGCACGTACGCAGACATACATACACACATACACACACATATATGTAAATACATACAAAAAAAGAGTAAAGCAAACTTTTTATGTATACCAAAGTTCACATTAAGTATGCAGGTAATTCCGCGTTTTAATTTCAATTTTCTGTATGATGTGTTTACGAAAACGCTTTTTTTATAGAGTAAAATAGAGTTCTTGTAAAAACTAGTAGGTATTATTATTTATTTCGTACTGGTACAGAGCACCGAGAAGAAACGGGTTCATAACAGTTAATTTTACAAACAGGAAAGCACTTTAACTAGAATTGTTATTACACTTTACAAAGTTATAGTAATTAGACTGAAACCCTTTTCCGACTTCTTATATTATATAATTATTATTCTTTGTAAGTAATTATTTGAAATTGGTCAATTATAAACTGAACGATACATAAAATATAATTAAATTGTTTACTTTTAATTGTTGGTATTTTTTTAATTTATATGTCATTAGCTTACCGTGGGTAATAAAGGAATAATATTTGTTAGTAACAGTGATTACACTGAGCTAGACGAACGCGCGCACTTGAAACATTGGCATAAAAATATTTTAATAAAAAATATTTTGTATATTTTGATTGATTAACTTTATATATTATACTTATATAACCTAATATAAATGATTCTGAATATAAAATTAATATATAATATGAGACTAGTGACTCGCACTGGTTTCACATGATTATTTTGAGAAAAAAAAATACATCGAGTACAATTTTACTTACTTGTAACTTAATAATTTAAACTTTGCTTTTTCTTTTTCTACTTGATTTTAAGTTCTCCTTTATTATATGACCGTATATAGCAATATCTTTGCTAATTATAAGCCTATTGGATACCCGTTATTGGTTTCATATTGATTGAGTCCATGTGAAGTCACAACTTTTTTTATACGGAATAAAATTTATTATTAATTCAAAGATTTTTTTTTAAATTATTGCGCCGTTCTTTAAAGCTTTTTTTTTTTTTACAAAGTTATATAATACACACTAGCCAAATGTTGCAATTGTGTGGGTTATAATTTGTTTAGGAAAAGATCGCATATTATCTGTCACTTCACATATTGTATATATGAAATATAATAATAAAAATCACTCCATTTAGAAATTTTACTTCAAATTATCTTTAATTATAAAATAAGAAAACACTTCGATTCCAGCGCCACCTAGTATTTCTCATCCAATTTTGTTCAGTGCCACCTTAAGTCATAGTAACTGTTTTTTGTTCAAATTAGTCGATTGAAATATGAATAGAATCGAAAGATGATGACATTCGTATCAGAATCCTTGTCTAAATAGTGTATGACACTATTTAGATAAGGATTGTGATATGTGATATAAAATTTATAATGTACATTTCTCTTTAAATTATTTGAATTGGACCTTTCGTTTAGAAATGATGACAGATATAAAACAGCTAAAATAAAAAAAAAATACTGGAAACTGCTGGATTCTTAGTCTAGCTTGGACGTTGGTTACTACAAAAAATGTTAGTGTAGGGAAATGTATGTATGTTCAAATAAATTACTAATTTACGATATCTATTTATCTTTCTATCTATTCACCCGCGTGAAGCTGGGGCGGCTGGTAAGTTTATAATATTTTTACAAATATTCGATTACAAAATAGTTGATCTAGTAATATCTGTATTCAAAAATTTTGAGGTGAATGTAATGTCTTATGCACAATTTTTTTTTATAAAATTAAGTTTTTATTACATTTAATGTTTCTTTTATTGTTCTAGTTACGCCAGTTTTCTTAAAAAAAAAACATGTTTGTATTGTGCAAGGTACTTCTATCTAATAAGCGTAATAAAAAAAATCATATGAGGCGTAAGTCATCGGCCTGTACTTACTAATAGTAATAATAACATAAGTTTAATGAACGCAGCCTTTTTTTCATATTATTATGAAAAAAAGGCTACGTACATATATATATTATCAAAAATATTCTTAATACTTATGTCTTTTTGCTCATTGAATTCCCGTCAACCAATTACATTTATTAAAAAATATCGTTAGAGTAACCTAAGTACTTGTTTGAGTGGATTTAGTTTCCATACAACTTGTTTCTCCTGCTTTTTGAATAATTATATTATTTGTTTCAAGAGAAGTTAATGATAATTAAAAAAAAACAATGTTGTCAAAATCTTGTTACTTTGATTTAAAGACTACTAAACCAATTTTCATAAAATTTCTATGGAAACATTCTATAAGTACATATTATCTTTTCAGAAGAAAAAAATCATATCGGTTTATAAGTGATGGCGTTATGAGGTAACATAGAAAAGATATAACCGAAATAAAAACCTCCATCTTTGAAGTCGGTTGAAAAGATAACCTAGATTTGTTAAAAATAAAATTAGTAACAAATTGAAACATTCGAGCAATTAATCCATTTTTTATTTTTACCACTCAAATTAATTATTGGTTTGTTTATTTTTATTAAATTATATTGCAGTATATAGTATTATTTATTTTGTACATTTACACTTTTGATGAGAATTTTACATAATTGTATAATATAGTAACGGATATATGTGAAATATTCATGGTGTTTACAATATATAGCGAGTTAATAGTAAATAATTGGAGCTCTTCCTTGTATCAAGAAGGTTGCATCCTCGCCATGAACTTGCTGACCCCAAGTGTTTGCTATAGTGCACGCTATGCTACGAATGTTCACTGAAGGAAAATACATAGCTAAAATGGCCTAGTTTGTTACTACAATATATACGCCGTATATGTGCCAGTGCGGCTCAAATATGTTCTTGACCGTCAACTGACACGAGTGTGGATGTAAAATGTTGTTGTATCTGTTAGTTATCGCGGTGGTCCTGTGGATTGTGGTGTTTAGGTATCGGAGGCGAAGGATGTATAAACTTGCCTCCATGATACCGGGACCAAAAGGGGAGCTCCCCTTGATAGGTGTAGCACATACGCTCGTAGGGAACACCGAGGGTAAGTGGCTTATACTGTTTTTTTTTTTTTTAATAATAAATATTTAATTTTGTGGATAAATATGATTTATGTTACGTGATTCGTATTCACTATGTGGGATGTTATGATAATTTTACGATTTATTTCATAAATTATTTTTTATTATTAGCCATGTAGATGTAAATATTAGATTATCATCGAATTTGGGGGTAATAATTAGATGGTAGTAGGGGGGAGGAAGTGTCCTGTAATTCCTCCTCGAAAGGTAATAGAATTTATTGCAATTTTAATGCAAATAAAAATTTTGATGTGATGGTAAAGGGATTTTATGGTTTAAGATGTTTTACTAGAAGAGTTAAAGGGGGTTTTACCCTCGTTTAACTTGTGTTGTGCCCTTTATTCCTAATATTTACAGAAATTTATTTTACCCCTTCATTCAAAGAATTATGTGAAATGAGAAGCTGGCTGTATGGGGTAAGAAGGGGTAAAATTAAATGATTACGTTCGGTTAAATAAAACTATAAATTGTTTGACTATGTAGATACAGGCTGAGACCTCTTGTCCTCGTGATGGGAAACCAGTACAAAAAAAATAATGTTGAAATCGCCATTAGAACCGAATACATTTTTAAATTAATGTCCAATATCAATATATTAATATTCGTTTCATTCCGAGTTGATTATTTCGTGATTAAGGGTTCCTAATTAAGAGTTTTTTTAATAAAACCAAAAAATAAAAAAATAAACCATAAGGAAATTTGATGTCAATGAAAATCTAACCTTTTTTCAACTGACTTTAAAAAGAAAAAGGTTCTCAATTGTTTTTTTTTTTAAGTTTGTTACCTCATAACTCCGTCAGTTCTAAACTGTATTGGAAAATTCTTTTTTTTTATCAAAAATGCTATACGTACAGGTTGGTTCCATAGAAATTTTATCGAAATCGCTTCAGTAGTTTAGTTTTTTGATTAAAATAACTGATTTTGTTATAATTGAAGTCGGTTTTAGTGGGATAAAATCTTTTATTATGAATTTATTCATTACCAATTTTAAGACTGTCCAAAAAAGGTACTAAAACTATGTAAGATATATTTATCTATACTTATAATAAATCTGTAGGGAGGTCACATTCTGTACATGAAATATATTTCCAAAATAACTATCAGGGGGTGATTAGTTATCGATACTGATGCCAAAAATGCAATCAGTAAAATTTTTGTCTGTCTGTCTGTCTGTCTGTATGTTCGTTATAGAATAAAAAACTATTAGACGGATTTTAACGAAACTTGGTACAATTAGTCTTCATACTCCTAGGCAGGTTATAGTATATCATCACGCTACGATCAATAGGAGCAGAGCAGTGAAGGAAAATGTTGGGAAAACGGGAGAAGTTACTCCACTTTTAAGCTTCCGTCGCGTCTGCAGCCTTAATGGCCACTTTTTAAAATGTAAAAATGTCCACCCGTGCGAAGTCGGGACGAGCCGCTAATTAATAATAACTGAAATAAAAATGGAAATCTGCGTTATATGTATTTATTGGACGCATTTATGTAATAATGCTTTATATTATTCGAATCCTTTAATTATTGTCTCAAAAGTATTTTCGGCATTCTTCATGTACATATGTTATGTAAAAAGAAATTCGAAACCTCTGTGTTTAGATATGCCAAAGAAATTTATCTTAGAAAGTGTTTGATATATAAATACATGTTTCTGCTGTCGAACAATTACTGTACCTTCATGATAGTGTTACGATTTGAAGGGTGGAGTGCGGTAGTTAAAAAGTGTCAATTTAAATATATTTGGACATTAATGTGGCCAAAAATATAAATATATCTTTACGCCAATTTCTTTGTTGTATAAGTACAGTGAATAGAGTGTAAAGGCCTCTTTAAATATATTTCTGATTTCATTCACTTTCATAACTCTTTTCATATATTTATTTTGCACACGGTTTATCTAATGGTTAGTGTTATAGGTTAGTCTATGTTTCCCCCAGTAACTGTGTCCTTTCACTTTTACATTGTTTCGGCAACTATTCATTTGTTATAATTTTATACGTTCAAACTATTGCAGTATGCCCTTTCTTATTTTCAACCGAATTAAAAAAGAAAGAGATTTGTATTATTTTATGTTTGTTACTTCATAACTCTATCATTTGTAAATCGATATAGAATATTTTTTATCTCTATACTTACAGATTGGGCCCATCGAAATTTTATCAAAATTAATTCATTACTTTAGTTTTAAATTAAAATAACTAGTTTTAACAAAACTGAAATCGCTTTTTTTGTGGAATACAATCTTATTATTGAAATAAATCCTTTTTTTTTTAATAAAACTATATTTTATTTTCTGTCTTATATTTTCTTATTACACTGCCATTTATAAACTAACTTGCCCTCATATTACTGGATTATGAATTTAACCTGTTATCCTTACAATACAAATGATGTGCAATATTCGCATCTTGACCGCTTTAATATTATTGCCCAACTCTCGCTACCATATGACAATGTGGGGACAACTATGGAATTGTATATTGCCAAATGCGCCTTTTAGCACAAATTGTGAATGTCAAGTAGCGCCCCCATAACGCTATTCATTCTATTTCCAGTATTCACTCATCTTTCTACGTCTACTGTATTACTATTTACTAGTACATATTGATCCAATAACTCATTATCTACCATAAGCTTTGTAGTACTTCTAGAATTTTCGTTTTCTTTATATATTTTTTTTATACAACTTAGAAAGGCAAACAAGCTGACGGTCCACCTGATGGAAAGTGGTAACCGTCGCCTATAGACATGAGCAGATTCATTTTACAACTAGCGAGTATTATTGTTTCCTTTGCATAGCATGGTCAGTTAATGACAAAATCACTCATTCGCATTTTCTCACTCAGGTACTTTTGCGACATTTATTTAGATACAATCTAGTCACGCAACCCTGTTTGACGTCAATCTTTACAACAAACTAGGGCGATGCAGCGTCGTTTACGCATGCTCTGCTCTTCATATAGATCTTAGAAATATAATATATATGGACTGCATAGTATTCAAGATGACACCATTGATTCTACTACATTCATCTGATTTTTATGTACAATAAATTAAAATATATTAAAATGTTAGATTTGCACGTATGTACTATGATTTTTTACTAGGTATATATTACTAAGATTTGTTGATTACTGATAATAGAGTTGACTAAGTGGTTCTCTTGTTTTGCAGACATAATGTCATCGTTGCAGAACTTCAGTTACGAAGCAATGGAAAATGGTGGAATAATTAGGGGGTGGCTCAATCATATACTATATTTTGGTATGTTTTTCATGTGATACAGTTATACTCATTTCTATAAAAGAAAACTCTATAATGTATTATTAATTTGGTTGTATTTTTGTATGTTACCCAATATGACTCATTTCCAAGTCTGCACCAATTGTCATAATACTTTTTTAATTGAAAATATTATTATTTGTTAGTGTTAGTTTTATCAAGATATAAGTAGTTTTCGTTTATAAAGCAAAAACATATATAAAAATTATATACTGAAAATTATACGGTGACAACCCATTCAAACAACGTTTGAATGGGTTGCCACCGTATAGTTTTTAAACCCGTTGAGGGTCTTATGATTAAATTTTATCATAAACTGAATTTTCATGTTAACACGTTCCTATACCATCCAAAAACTCTTATCATCCAGGGGTGTCACCCTTATACGAATAATAGTCAAGAGTTATTCGAAAATACGATTAACTCATTGAAATCGGGGATATGGTTAATTTCTACGCGGTCCCCTCTTAAAACCATTGTAGTTAATTTCTGTTGAATTCGTCACAACGAGCCAATTGACTTCATTCTCATCTATCATCCCTTATGGAAGGACTGGTAATCAATAGCACAGGCGGGTTGTAATGCCATTTTCATAAATTAAAAAAACGATTCAGAAGACACAAAAATTGGTATACAGTACAGTGTTGACGAGATTTTATGTGACATTTACGTAACGATTTCAGTACTTATATTTATGACACTAGATATCAAGAACAGTACGCCAAGAAAACGTCTAAAACGTCAGCACGTCTAGTGACGAATTTTGCAAAATTGTCTACGTGCTTTATAGGATATTTATCTGGCTCTATCTGATATGATTACGTCATGTGACCTCGCATTTAAGCTATTATTTGGGTTCGAGGGTTACATAATGATGTAGGTATAATATGATGTGTGTGTACTTTATTTTTTACCATAATTGACAATAAATTAAATAACTAATTTGGCTATTAGTTACACACTATACGGTCTATTTATTTTCACGTTATAAGCAGTACACATTGAAACTAATTTAAAAAGAAGAAAGCTCAAAAAATAATTAACAAATTTTAAAAATAATTTTACCTATAGAATATATACTTATATATACCTATACATATATATACCTATATATTATTTTGAAATATTGAATTTTTTTATTTCTTAAATGTTCATATTATTGTCATTACCTACCGGAAAGTTAGCGATTTCTTCCTCGTGAAATAATACGTCCTTCTGTTATATCATTAATTTTGTTTAAATGGACACAAGCAATACAAATCACGTTTACTACGGGATATGAATATAAGTAGGTATCTAAAAATGCCGGTGTGAATATAAAGTGTCACTTATAACATGTGACATTACAATCTTCCCCAACTTCCTTGTGAACCTTAAATATGTTTATGTTATAGGTGTGCAATTTAAAACAGTTTACGGTATTTACATACTATGTTATATGATGAACATATATTTTGTATCCATCATCTAGTGTCTTCATCATATTTTGAAAAGGATCCGTTCACGAGTATGAAGAATCCCTAAGATTACTATAAATTATTGTCTTTTTTCTCTTATATTAACAAGCCTAACCAAACTAGCGATAATTCCTAGATCTATAAAATAATATACAAATGACGATGAAATACATATTAAAATCGGTTGCATAGTTTAGAATAAATAAGCGGAGAAATAAACAGCCATCATTCTGATAGTGCATTTATTTTATAGTGTTTAGCTATATTAAATATTGAATACTGAGTTACATGGTTACAGTCCGTGTGGTCCTGGCAATGAATAGAATAATATTAGGCATCCCTTCCTTTTCTGTGGATATCGTAAGAAGCAATTAAAGGAACTTTATGGTAGAGGGATGTGCAATGGCGTCCCTCTTAAAACATTTCTAAAAGCCTAACTGCTTTTGCCAACTCGCCTGCCAAGTGTGGCAACTACTGGCAAAACGCTTTTATAGGGAAGGCCCATGTTCACCAGTGGACAGTTAACGGTTAGAATGAATGAAAAAATGTTATAGTGAATAAATTAGTTTTATAATGTCAGATTTCTAAATTACTTTTTAAAAAACTTTTTAAAGTAGATGTAGAGTTTCTGACGAATACTTCTCAGTAGATAAATCTTGTAGAAGTATAATTTTACATTGGAAGGACGCTTTGTATGTAAAAACTTGAAAGAAATCTATTTAAATATTTTTTTTTATTCTAGTTTTGGTTGATCCAGTGGATTTGGAAATGGTGCTGAAAACGTGTTTAGAAAAAGACGACCTACACCAATTCATTAGGAAAATTGTGGGAAACGGCGCTATATTTGCTCCAGGTAAGTGCGATGCAATAATATTGAGGTTACTGATCTTGATCAAGAACATCGATCTTCTTCAATGTTCAATCGAATTGGTTCTAATCGATCTATAATAAAATCGGCGATTATAAAATCAATTTTGATCTTTTCATGTGTGTGTGTTGACAAAAATTAACCTATTTTGTAGATATAGATTTAAAAATCGATCATCGAGATCTGTAAGAATGATTTTTGAATAAATCAAATCGAGATTGGAAATCGTAATAAATATTACAGGTGATAAAAATAAATAATATATACAGGTGATTATTATTTTCAAGTTAACGCTGTAGCTCTTATTAGTAATGTAATATAATATTATGAATATTATCTATACATAGTGTCATATTGCTTACGATACAGCTCGCGCTTATAATCAAATTATGTAAATTAATTATCAAACATACAAATAGCAGAAATTAAGGTTTCTAGTAATTAATTAATACATTATTAAATATTAAAACTTTCGAAATTTAATTTTGATTGAATGAATAGTAATTTTTATTTATCTACTATAACTTTTTTATTTGTTGAATTTTTAATTGGCTAAATTCGGTAAAAAGTATTGTATATATTGGTGTACATAAGTTATGCAGATTGTTCACTAACTGTGAAAAAACATATTTACGCACATACTCGTTGTGTGATTAATGACACATTATTGGTATGTAATTATAGTGTCACAGCTACAATTTCTAAAAAAAAAATCAAACTTTATATAATATATACAATCATAAAGAGCATGGGGCTGTGGAGAAATAGGTTATTTTCACATGTTTTAGTTGTTTTCTTAGATTTTATCAATCCGAATAATCCAGAAACGACTTTATTAACAAAGTTATGTATAGTTAATCTTACTACGCTAGAAAGCCCTTGAGTATAATTACAGGGTTATTTTCTATACGAAAATTCATGTCGTAAATGGTCGGTATGGGTAAATATTTTTGTGACAGCTGTTGTCTGACCATGATCCGCATTGGATGTTTCGTAATTGTTTAGTTAAGTTTAAAGTTGAAACTAACTATTGTATTTTTACTTGATTAAGATATATTTAAGAAGTTTACTTTTTAAATGCCTATCGCTCTTAAAATATTTAATTGTATTAGAAACTTTTTTAATGTTGTTTTAATAATTTTCTGTTGTAACTGACTGTTTATATGAAGATCAAACTAGTGTATGTAATACGCAGTCAATGCAAGCCATTAAGACAAGCGTATATTAAATAAAATAGACACAGAATATCATATTATGTTTATATTAGCACCTTATGATAAAATCCCCGTACCACGGTGTGGTGTTAAATAGTATTTTCTGTATTCGCAGCACGTATGCAACATTATGTATTATTTTGTTGGTTAAATTGTTTAGGTACCTACTTGAAAAACATTAATATGACGTCATTAGGAAATAACTGTTGTATTACCTTTAGGTAGTTCTTTAGATCGTTTAAATATTTTAATTTAAAAATCAATACCCTTGTATTTACGTTTTAGTACTCATATATCCACAAGTTCTTTATACGTTTTATTATATATTTATATTATATATTATAAGTTTCTCTGTACGAGGATATTTGCAGTATGTTACTTGATTTTAGTTGCATTTGTTTGATTTTCGTGTAAATAAATACCAACATGAATACCTAGACTTATTTAATTTCTGTATCATACTTAATTATAATTTGTTCAATATAGTTATAAGTTAACATATTAGAATGAAAACAGGCTTGGAAATTTTTTAAGCTAAAGAACAAGTGATGTCATTTTGGATTTCACGTGAATAAAATTATATCATGTTATAATAATTTAAGTCTCAGTGCGATGCGCCACAGAGATAAATAGATACATTTACAAATAAGTGTTTTGGTCAGCGTAGACGTATAATAATATAATTAAAAAACGTGTCCCACAAAAAAAATATCGACTTCAACTGTGACAAACAGTTATTTTGATTGAAAAACTAAACAACTGAATTTCTTTATTGATAAAATTTCCAGCAATCTGTAAGTATATAAATAAAAAAAGATAAGACTTTTCTAAAACGGTTTAAAACTTACGGAGGTAGTTAATATAAAAAAAAATACTTATAAAATTATTATAGAATTGAGAACCTCCTACTTTTTGAAGCCGGTCGAAAATATATATACTTGCTAAGGTTATACTTGTACTATTATTTATTCTATTTATTTGTCTATATGTTTTTTTTATAACTTCCTCAATTCAAAGAATGGCAAACTTTTTGTTTGACGAGTTGTGTCTACAGCAATTCCTTTTAAAAATGTAATACATTGTGTACGTATTTAGAAAATACAAGGCCATTTTTTAACCACTTGACACTATTCAGCAACATTATTAATTATGACATAACGGATTACCGGTCGACCATTAGTTGGTACTTTAACAAAGTTAAGTTTAGTTGACAAAGTTCCTTATTTAAAAAATAAGCAGACAGAACTAATGAATCATATATTTTTTAAGATTAAAAAACTTCTAACGAAGAATAATAATTAAGTTTTTTGTTTGGTGGCCCCTTTGCTATCAATAGTATTTGACTCAACTTCTAACCGGTTTCTTACCCCCTTCTACTTGGAAACCATGAATTGTTTCGAATGGGTAACTAATTCGACTTCGATCTATCTCCTTCATTTGCAGGTATTAACATAAACGTAGACTAAAAGCGCAAAGGAATTAACATTCCATTTTTAATTTTTAAATATTCATACCCTATAAATAAAAATAAATATTTTTCAACAAGAATGAAAATTGTAACACTTTAGTAGTAGTAGTTTTAAAATTAGTGTATTATTTCATCATATTAGCCATTATCTGTCCACAATTGAATATAGGCACACTTAGCAAGCGGGCTGGCAACCGCAGTTATGTTTTTAAGAGGGACACAACTACCCATTTTTCGACCATTAAGTTCCTTTTGTCGTCTCTTACGATACCAACGGGAAAAGAAGGGGTGGCTTATTATATGCTAAGACCACACAGCAACTGTGTACTGTTTACTCTATATGATAAATTTGAATGAACAAAGCGTTTCGGAATACACGTGCACAGTGAAATTTACGACGATTTAGTTTTTTTTTTATATATACTGTGCCGAGAAATGAACTCACGATTCCTTTTACGTAAAGTAATGCACTAAATATTTAATCCGAGGTCGTTTTAAGTTAACAATTACATTATAGAATAGGAAACAGACTACAAAAGACTGGTGAATAAATATGATCTGTAGCCAATGTACAAATATGTAGGTAAAGGATTTGTCAAAACCGCAAACAAATGGATGTATGAGAGATTACCTTGAAAAAATGTAAATTTGGGAGGAAAACATTGCAGCAAAGAACCAGTTTACGAAATATTGCAACAATGAGTGACATTCGCACTTAGAACACTAGTAAAAGTACTATGTACTTAATTTACTAATAACTTATAATACACTTTTTTTTTATACAACTTAGAATAGCAAACAAGCTGACGGTCCACTTGATGGAAAGTGATAACCGTCGCCTATAGACATGAGCAGTACCATAGACATAACATAGTATACTGTTTCGCCCATGATACTCCCCATGCGTTGCCATTCCTGAGGACTCAGGTGTTATTCCTCTGTACCCAGTAAATTCACGCCATATCCCACCCTTCAAACCAAAACACAGCCATGCAAATACAGCTGCTTCACGGTTGATACACGAATGGGACAGAGGTACCCAAGCAATCGACTTTTGTACAAAGTCTCCCTCTGGACACTATTATCTTACTGTTATAAAAAAGTAGTCTATATTCTTCTCCATCCCATATGATACGTATATATTAAATTTCAAAGTCAATTGTTAAGATGTTAAGAGCAAATAAATAAACCCCGCAAAATCAGTAAGAACTTTTATAGTGGAGAAATAATATTCAGGAAAAGACGTATTAAAAGCGAGAGTAACTCTTATAGAATTTCCTTTCAATAAACCAGTAATATTAATATTATTGAAAGACGGACTTTTTCCAGTTACAGAAACCTGTGATAATGCGACCTTTTTAAGATCTTTTATGCTCGCCCTTTTTAAAAATTCGTTGCTAATTCTATACATAATTCTACATAATGATAGAAATTTTAAGATATTTTTTGCAGCTGTTTTTTATCTCTTCAGGATATAAAGTGTATTTTCCAAAAGAGATATATGGTTTATGTAGGGCTACAGCCATAAATTAGGCGCAGCGGCGTTTCTTTCTTGTCGTGACAAAATCTGCAAACACTTTTTAGGCATAAGCCTAGTTGGGGCATTTGCTTGTTTAGTTTGCAGTGTCTTGTGAGAGCTCTCGTTAATACATACATATTATTTTCTGAAAACCTCTTCATTAAGGGTTGTTTTGATGTTTATTTTGTTTGGTGTAAATGATGAATTTCGTTAGTCACTGCTATCAAAGTATGTTAACGATTTCAAATTCACTATGTATGTAAATAAATTATTTGTAATAAAAATATATTGTTGTTAACAGTTTCAATCTGGAGACGGCGTCGTAAAATCCTAGTTCCAGCGTTCAGTCCAAAAATAGTGGAGAACTTTGTGGAGGTGTTTGCGGAACAGAGTGTCAAGTTGACCAAACGGCTGGAAAATCAAGTTGACAAAGGTCCTTTTAGTCTTTGGCCTTTTATCAGCACCTATACATTAGACTCAGTATTTGGTAAGTTATAAGGTTTTTATTAGAATAAGAATATTTTTTATTCAAGTAAAACTTAATAACAAACATTTTTAATAGTATTTTTTTTATGAGTCTCCAGTAATTTTATTCTTAATCTTGTTTTTTTTTTTATATAACTTATTTAGTAAACATGTAAAAACTTATAATGTTTGTACAGTATGATATAACAAACTCTTTATTGTATACAAAATCGATGTATACAGAGAAGAAAAATTTAAATGTACAAGATTTTGTCTATGCTGCATATTTGCAAATAAGTACAAAGAGCTTACAATTGATTGACCAATTATATATTGATCGAAGATCGAATATAGTAGATGAAAAAATCGAACATTTAACCTAGATTAATTTAAATGTTCAATTTATTACAATTATAATCTTTAATACATTTTTAAAATAATTATACCTCAATTGTATTAAAAGAGGTTTTGATGATCATGAAATTTTTATATTCGATAATATAAAGATATTTCGATCATAATATATATTTAGTTATAGGCTTTATGATCGAAGTGATAGAAATTATCGATTTGTTAATATAAAATAATTCGAAGGAGACAGAACGTGTTTTGAGAATGTTAATTAATTGTTCTATAGTATATATAATACATGTAATAAAATTGAAGTAGGTTTTATTTGTTTTGTTATATATGAGATTGCCCTTGCCGACCCTGAAGTTGACAAACTGTAACGTAATGATAAGCCTTATTAAGAAAACTTCATCAAAGTTGCATCAATGACTAGGTAGTGAGTGTAATTGTGTATAAAATGATTATTTATTATTTATTGACTTTGTATTGTACAACATGTATTATTATGTAACCTGTTATTGTAAATACATTATTTACATGTTGTTTATTTTACGTAATTTTTTTATATTCAGATACAGCCATGGGAGTAAAAATAAATGCTCAAGATAATCCAGATTCACCATTTTTATTATGTATGAATCGTATTCTGAATTTGGTGTGTGAAAGGATATTCCACCTGTGGCTACAGCCTGATTGGTTATATAAATTGTTCCCGCAGTATATTGAGCATCAAAAGTGCGTAAAAGAAATGCACGGATTTACCGATAAGGTATATTGTGGCAAATAATATATATCATAACAATAATGAGTGCTACACAATGACATTAATCTAGCAGCCCTCAAGTTAGGATATTCTGTGTTATGAGTATATAATAGTCATTGTCTAGATCCTTATTCCTAATTCTTTGGGTATTCAAAAATATCAAAACTTGAGACAAATTCGAAAAGAATGTTTTCTAAATTAGTGTGGGAATTGAACCCGAGACCTCATTTACGTAAAGCAATGAGTAATAAAGCAATAAATATTATATTTTTCTTATTATATATCACCAGTTTTGTTTGTTAAGTCTTTTAAATACACAATTGGGACTTAACGCGATGAAAAAGCTTTGCAGATAAATAGTACCTACATATGTATCTGTTTCTTAAAGAGGTGTAAAGATGTCAATAAACTAAAGTTTACTTAAGGATTACATTTCTTAATAGGTTAATAAACAGTTGTGCAGAATAAAGTAAAACATTAGGTGTACATTATTTCTAAATTTGCTAATTCTATCAATGACTCTTGCCTAAATCAGTGTTAACGTACCAAATAGTTAAACATTAGAAAACGTTTACAAGCTTTTCCATGTATAATATTTTGAGAATACTGATATTGTTTTAAATTTTTAGATTATTAAAATGAAAAGAACAGAAATCAAGAAATATGAATCTCAATCTAAAGACGGGACAATGTATGGTGAGTTGAATATATAATGTAAGTAAATTTAATAAATTCTTTATACAGGTTGGAATTTAAATCATTAGCATCCTTATAAGAGAATATTCTATCAATATTTTACTGAACTAGGTATTATTTTGCAGCAGTCCATATCGCTGGTTAGTTGATAGAATTATTTTGTACAATTTCGCTACTATTAGCATGCGTGCAATTGCCAACATTTTTTTTTATACCACTGAGGTGGTAAACAAGCATATAGCCCACCTGATGGTAAGTGGTTACCGTAGCCTATGAACACCTGCAATACCAGAGGCATTACGCGTGCGTTGCCGATCCTGAAGAAACCTCTTTATCCCCCTTTTGAAGAACCTCATGCTGTAGTCTCTTGGGAAAACCTCGGCAGGGAGCTCATTCCATAACCTGAGTGTTCGTGGGAGGAAACATCTCTGAAACCGCGCAGTACGCGACCATTGAGGCTGTAGGACAGATTGCCTACTAATATTATTAGCAGAAGTTCTACAACCTTCAATATTGTTCACCAATCTCCGACCGTTATTAAGTCCGAGCTCGTTTTGTGACAAATATTCTGTCAATGTAACATGAACATTATTTCTGAATGAAATAATCATGTGTCCGAAATACAATTAAGAAATTTGACCATACTAACAACATAGATGAGGCTCCAAATATTTTGTCCTTTTTTATCTATTTTCTTCATGAAAAATATTCAGTTTTACTGTTAGAACATTTTTTAAAAAGGTACTAAAGATTTAAATTTCACACTGTATATAAACAAGTTATGTTTAAAATCATTATATAGCGCATGTTTTTCTTTTTTTATAGACTTACAAGCTTACAGACGTAAAACGTTCCTTGATTTGTTGGTGACACTATCCGGTGGTGAACAGGGGTACACTGATGTGGAGTTGAGAGAAGAAGTACTGACTCTCACTGTAGCAGGTACAGACACATCCGCTGTGGCCACTGGGTATACACTTAAGCTCTTATCTATGTATCCTGAAATCCAGGAGAATGTTTACAATGAGTAAGTAGTAATCGTTTCCTTTTAAATAACAAAGAATAGGTAAACTCTGTTGGATGGTGAAAAAATATTTAAGTAATTAAATACGACTAAACAAGTCAGCGCAATATGTTTCTTTTATAATTTTATATACCAAAATTTAAAGAATATTATTATAATAAAAGGTATTACGTAAAAACTTTTTGTTTTTAATAATATTGACTTTCCTTGGTAGTAAGACGTCTAATCATGTACTGAACACCAGTTTATCGCAAGTTTAACTTCCTTTTGGTTAGACGATTACAGTACATATTTTTCTAATATTATAAATCTAAGAGTTTTTATAATTTTTTAAGTAACTTAGAATTATATAATAATAATAGTAAACATGCTGATAGCCCAGAAAATGGAGACGTCGTCTATATTTAAGATCGGTATAGTTTGGCATGATAATAATTGCTACTTTATAATAATATAATGACGTATTCTTATATTAATTTTAGTACATATTTTCAGGTTATATGAAGTATTTGGTGATTCCGATCGTCCTGTGGTTAAAGAAGACTTACCCAAATTAAAATACTTGGAGAGAGTGGCCAAAGAATCACTAAGACTATTCCCTCCGGTACCATTTATTATTAGGAAGGTTTTGGAAGATACTACTTTGCGTAAGTAAAAAAAAAAAAAAAAAAACAAAACAATACTATATAATAGTACATTTGTACTTTTTTATTTATTTGTTTGAGCGAACAATAAAATTATTTGGTTACTAAATACTATCTATATATAGATAATGTTACATACATTGTGTAAAATGTATACAATGTGCAAATTGTACCGAGCGTTTTATTTATCAGAATGATCACATTTGAATCGTAATAATGTCAGCTTAATTTAGAGTCAAGAAATGGCTACACTAGACTATATAGGTTGCACAATAATATAAAAAACTCATACCTGTTAGTCGTGCAATGGACACGTATAGACAAAGAAATTAATGCGCTTCGAATAGCAAAAATTTTGAACCACAAGTTTTTTATTACATTGTAATAGTTGTACTACTTATATTACACTTTTATAGTATTTACATTTATATTGCTTTTAAATTTCCAGCCTCAGGACGCGTTCTTCCCGCTGGTTCAGGTGTCGTTATCTCCATATGGGGGGTACATCGTAATCCCAAGTATTGGGGTCCAGACGCGGAACACTTTGATCCCGATAGGTTCTTACCGGAACGTTTTAATCCGGGACACCATTGTAGTTTCATGCCGTTTAGCAGTGGACCTAGAAATTGCCCTGGTGAGTCTAATCATTATAAGAATCTTCAATTTTCTCTGTTTACTATTCACTGAATGGGGAACTTACTAGCTATCCCTATCAAACCTACCGGGGGAAAGAGATTGTTAACACTGAGATTTCACAGCCTCATTGCCACCGCATTGCTCATTCCTCGATGTATCTTATCAGAGCGACCTATGTAGCTGTGATTAATTCTTGTTGCATTCGTCACGATGGGCTAACTGACTTGTTTTCATTTTCACCTATGATCTTACATTGATGCCTCGCCAGCATATACCGAGAGCACTTTTTTAACTCATTAAAAATTCGTCCGATCTGAATATTTCATATAGTACCTATCTTTCTATATTTATTAGTTATTAATATTATAAATGTGAATGCTTGTAAACGGCTCCATGATTGGAATGTTATTCTGTGTACGGGTAGATTATATTTGTAATCTAACTTAAAGGGCGAGCACAAAAGATCATAAAAAGGTTGTAGTATCACAGGTTTCTCTGCTTGGAAAAAGTCCGTTTTTCAATAATAATAAATATAATATATAGGATACTTTATAGACAAATATATGTGGGTAAAGCTGTGGGAATCAGCTAGTAATTTTATAAAGTATTATTTGCTCGTATTTAAGCAGAAATATGACCGTAATTTACAGGATATGTATAGGTTTATTTGTTTTATTTCTTGCAGGATACCAATATGCATTGATGTCTATGAAGACTGCGTTGTCGACCATTCTCCGATCTTACAAAGTGGTAGGGGAGCGGGAGCCCACTGTTATTCCTCGCATCAGAGTTAAGATAGACATTATGATGAAGGATATTGATGGGTATAGAGTGGCATTGACTAGACGAAGACCGCGTGCCGTATCTTCAGATAACAGAGAAAATGCATAATAAATCATCAGATAGATATAAAAACCTCTTTCTTATCGAATATAATTTATTGATTTAATTAAAATAAATAGAGTGTTATTTTCACTACAACAGTATTAATAATTTCAGCCCAAGGCTTTTCTGTCATCACATTCGCCTGTGATAGAAAATTCATCTTTATTCACCATATTATAGAGTTCACACAGCAGAATTTCATCTTAGATTATAAGTTTCATAATATGGAGTTTGCTTCTATGAACTAAGTTGTAGAATGTCGTAGAATACAAATATTTTCATTTAGGATTTACATACAGTTGCTTACAACTGTATCTAACTAGTTTTTATAATTATTTGTTATTATGTTTTGAGGTGGTTTGAATAAAAATTTGATAACTTAAGTGGTTAATGATCAAATGGTTAATTAACTTATTCACCGCTTCGTTTTGTAGCAATTGCTGTGACACTAGATCTTGACTCCAATTGGCAACTTAATATTGTACGTCGTTCTTTTAATATTTCTGTCTATGACATGTAATATTAAAATGTAAAATTTTGTTCTATATACTGTGTCTATTTTATTACTATGTTAGTATATAAGACTGCTAAATAAATGTAAAAACAAATATATACATGTTCGTATTTATATATTTGTTTTTCAATATACATGTACATATTTGGTACAATCCGGTACATACTACCGGATGTATTTTATTTTTTTGATATTATGTCAGCCGTCGACTGTTCATTGTTGAACATAGGTCTCCTCCTATTAAAAGGTTTTGCCAGTAGTTGTCACGCTTGACAAGCGGGTTGTAATAGCAGTTAGTTAGTCTAAGTGGGACGTTGCTGCCTCTCCTTCGACCATTAAGTTCAATTAGTCACTTCTTATGACATTCATGGGATAGGAAGGCTGGTCCATTCTATGCCGGGACCACACGGCGTTTATTTTATTGGGGCGGTTAAAAGGTTAACGTCGTCTTGACATGTGGTCATGATAAATTCTACATTCCCAGTAAGTAGTTCTAATAACGCAACACACTGAAAAGGAACAACCGTTATATAGTATAGTTCATATACCGTATTTGGCGGTTCAATTCTCCTAGACAACGATCCTTTGAATCGTTATTACTGTCGAGTCCATAGAGATAGAATGAGATAGCAATGTCTGGTGTCTTATTCTTTCTCGTGTGAGCGCTAACTGAAACGATTCTATTGATAGATTAGTTTGCTGATTGTTTAAAGGGTAGGTTTTGTAATGCAGAAAATTTTTAAGACATCTCATAGTTTTCTTTTTTGTCCTTCCTATTATTTGTAGCGGTTTACATAGTCAGCATAAAATTTTATTATACCATTTAATAAGATTATTTATATTTATCTTTAGATGAATTTTATAAAGGTAAAAAGTACCTGAATTAAAAAAGCGTAAAGTAAATAAGAGGTTTTATTTAAAATCTGGATATTTTAATAGTTTTTTGGTATTGACTGAATAAAGAAATCTCTCTCTGTAATTATATTTTCTTTTTATTTAGCTTCTCTTTTTGACAACACCTAAATATATATATATATATATATATATATATATATATATATATATATATATATATATATATATATATATATATATATATATATATGAAATTGTGAAAAGAATAACAGAACAATGTACCTATTTTTATATAAAATTTTTGCACGAATTATAACGAAGTACCCAAGGAAATGTGATCTATAATTTATTATACATATTTATGTTTATTATAAGTATATGAGAGAAGTCCTGTTGTATATTTTGAACCCATTTTTACCTAGTTAAAATATTTTTAAGTTCTGAGTATTTATACAAGCACATACATAGATGTACATGTGTTTCTCTGTGGGTCAAAAATGGTATTAAAATCTTTAATACAGTGGATATTTGTAACTAAATTAGTTGTAAATCGAACTACGGATAAATTATGAGTTTTCTACTTTTTACAAATATGTAGACATCTAATACTACATTCTTATAGACTGCAGACTAAACGTTAAATGCACAATTTTATGGATGGAAATTACAAACTGAAGGTTGTTTGCTACTGAATTTATAATTCGTCTGCAATTCTCTACATTCCTGTTATTGATACTTAGTATAAGTTAAATGGTAAATAAATGTTGTTATTCGTACCTGCATAATTTTTAAAATATCGTTGCCAGATTATTATGTACAACATCATTATCTGAGTTAATTGACCATTGAAAAATATAAGCCTCCCTCACAGACTGCCATAAAGTAACAGTGAATTACCTGTATCTACTGATTTCAACTTTCCATTCCATCAATTATATATAGGGGTTGTAATTATTTGTTTTATTATTATTATTATTGAACTTATCTGAATTGGCTCGGGTCTGGATACTCCGGGTTGTATCCCCAGATGTTCGTTGCTGGTTCTAAAACACAGAGTATTCTAGCGTAAGGACTTGGTGGTTGGTATGATTGTGTATTGTCAATATTTAGCGCAGGCGGGGCCTCCATTCCGTTATCATGTATTAAAATATTGTTAATATTTTCATTTATTATCATCATCATTTAACGAAGAACATAAACCACCACCTTGGAGGGTTGAAATAACAAGAAATAATGATCAATTAATATTTCCATTAATTGAACATTAGTTTTGTCAATTGTCATGACTAAAAAAAATATTAAAATTCATCAAATTGAAGATATAATTGTAGACTGTGATTTAGTTATCAGCTCAATATTATAATAATATAGAGGTCTAAATCTTCTAGTAAGTACTTATTAAACATTTTTTATTTATTACTGTTACCATAATAATAATATTAAGTTGAAATAAATTTGTGACTATTAGTCGAAATATATGTAAAATGTTATAATTATATATATAATTATTGTCAAAATTAATGTACACTTTTGTAATAAAAACTTTCATTTATATCATTTAATAAAATAATTTTATAATAAAAAAAAATGTTATATCTCATTTAACGCAATATAGTGAAAGATACATAAATAGGTAAACATTTTTGTGAATTTTTTATTGTTATTTTAAAGTGGGTAGAATATAGCTTAGATTAAGGATTTTTTTTTACAAAAATAACTAAATGCTTTTTTTTATTAATTTTATATAAAAAACGACATGGAACTCCTTGGATAATATAATTTTTTATTTAAATATATTGGTTATAATGTCTACATCACCTGTGCTGTGTATCAAATAAATATGAAGTTTTAATTGTACTCTGTTCTAGGAAATTTTAATAAAATTACAATCTTATTTTGGTAAAAGTCATTTGTCTTTTTTATTTCATAGTAGATTTTACAGTGTACGATTGTTTTTCGGAAAAATACGTGAGTACTTTTGTGAATTTATTTATTTTATTTTAAAGTTTGAATGTCAATTTTCATATGACGTTTGAAAATAATGTTGTTAAGATTTGTCGAGAAGTAGTTCTATCGACTGGAAATACTATTTTTAATCTATGAGTTTTGAAAATAGTCATACTATATTTATAGTAAGCAGATACTTTTTCAGTGTCATTTTTATTGATTCTCGTGAATATTATTGATTACGTTATACTACGTCTATCTACAACATCATCTAACGTAAATAATAGTAATTAATTTATATATAACACCACAGATCACGTTCTACTGTGATCTTGTCGTTCTTATTTTTGAAAATAAATATTACGAATAGGGGAGGGAAATAATATCAATAATATCAATATATATTTATTTTAGTATTGGCCTGATAGGGTAAATTGCTAGCTAGTAGTCTGCATTACTAACAATTCCCCCGAGACTTTCGTCTTGGGGAAGGTGAATGGGCGGACCTTTAGCTTATTGGTTAAAATAGGCTATCACCTGTAGGAGAAACCTATGTTAAGGTTTGAGCAATAAAAAAATTAAACTATGATCATATATAAAATGAAAATATGTAATCGTATCTGAGTAAAGCAAGAATGATGGAGGAAAATTAACTTAGTGTAAGGGTTAAGGCATTAAAGTACCGTTCTATCTGCACTTTGAAATGAATTCGATGTGAAGCTATGATATGTACCTATATACAACTTACACGTGGAATGTAATCCATCGCAATGCTAAACCAACGGGGTCGTCTATCGAAGAATAATAAGCAAAGTAATCATTTTGTTTCGAGGGGCCACGGATAGAATTTTTATGATAATAAGAAATCACGCGTAACACGCAACGACTGAAACTGGGTTACAGTGACCTGGGAACGATTTCCATTTAAAGTTTTATACGTGTTTAATTAAAACTGATACAGTGTTGTTTGCATGTGTGCGTGCAGATAATGCGAGTGAAGATCTTCGCATAATGTACGCATGACACGTCAAGTTAATCTGTTTTGTATGAAACTGCAAATGGTAAAGGTGCTCGGCCTCTCTGGTGGAGAGTGGAGAAACTCTATAGGCACTGTCCCTTTTATGGCATCCCTGATATGTTGTCACTTCAGAGGAATAAAATCACGTATTCGTCGCCGTTTCATTGCAGAAATAGAACAGCCTGCATTTTTTAATCCAGAGCCTTTAGTAAAGTCGACCATAAAATATATTCCAAATAGTCATTAAAATATGGACTGAACAAAATAGAAGAAATTTTGAATAGTTGTTGGTTGTATAGGAGTCTATATTCTTTTTATTTTTGATATGGGCAGAGTCTTAGTTTTAAAAATCGCTAAGGATTTCGAATTAATCTTTTGCAATACAATTAATTATATTATTATGTACCTGACCAATTAATGTTCATAATGTTCATTAAGTTCAAAATGTCTACTTTAAAAAAATAAAAACCAAAAAAACTAATCATAAAAATAATATTGCTATAATAATTCACAATTATTAAGTATTTAGCAAATAGGTATAAAGTAGTATTTAATAATTATTTAAAAGCGATTATTTTATGCAATTGCAAATGATAAACCTCAATGGTTTTCTCGTGTAACTTCAAGTGGTAATCGTCACATACATTTTTTTATGCGACTTAGAATGGCAAACATGCTGACGCCCCACCTGATGGAAAGTGGTATATTGGTGGATACAACAGAGTTTACTGTTTCGCCCATGATACCTCCCATGCGCTACCATTCCTGAGGATTCAGGTATTAGTCCTCTGTACCCTGTAAATTACTGCCATATTCCACCCTTTAAACTGAAATACAGCCATGCAAACACAACTGTTTCACGGTAGAAACACGAATGGAATAGAGGTGCCCAAGCAAATGACTTTTGTACAAAGTCTCCATTTGGTAAGATACAGATCATTCTCCCTCAAACAAAGTCTCCCACTGGTATGTTCACCCTTCATCTATTCTTATAATCTCATGGCATTCCTGAGAACGATGACGCACTGTAATTTTAATAAGGACTATTTTTACCCTATTTGATAAGTAATTTTTACCAGTCATTATGAATTCACGTTTGTAATAAACAATTTACAATCATAATAATGATTGCATGACGATGGTTAATAAGTATAAGAAAAATGAATACCATTTCAGTTCATTTCCCGTTTAAAACATTGTACTCGCCAATTACCTTTCATTTGGCAGTCAGCGTAATACAGACGCGTCATTAGACCTAAATGCATTATCGTAGTTACGTAGCATTTACTGAGCCCGCGTGACACGAAGGCACGATTGTAAATCAGTGTAGGGGTTACCTAAGTTACTCCGGGGTGCACTGTCGGATTTGAACAGTGTAGGGCGGGCGGGCGAGTCAGCCGGTCGCCTCTTCCATCTCAAAACTTAACGTGTTTATAACTTTTTTTTTCATACGGAACTTAAAACTTATCAATTGACATGCATTAGAAATTTTGCAATATATGCATGAGGCGTGTCCTCGATTAATGCAATAAAACAATGACCACGAGGGGAAGTAGATGTGAGGAACTATTTTTGGTATTATTTTTTTTTTATTTTATCATATAACAATATTGAATAATGAAATTTTAGGATCGAGGCCAACAATGGAGGGATGTTACAACGATGATGAGCCGTTCATATATAGACTTAACGATAACGGAACAGGACCGAGTCTGCTTGTCAAGGTAATGTTATGTTTATATTGTTTTCCTTATTAATAATATTTATTCAAGATTTTATTCTTTTTTTTATGCAACTTAGTGATGGAAAGTGGTAACCGTCGCCTATAGACATGAGCAGTACCATGGACATAACAGAGTATACTGTTTCGCCCATGATACCCCCCATGCGTTGCCATTCCTGAGGACTTAGGTGTTATTCCTTTGTACCCAGTAAATTCACGCCATATCTCACCCTTCAAACCGAAACACAGCCATGCCAACACAACTGCTTCACGGTTGAAACACGAATGGGACAGAGGTACCCAAGTAATCGACTTTTGTACAAAGTCTCCCTCTGGTAAAAATTCTACATAAAGATTTCAATTTTGTTAATACTTGTATGCAATCAACTCGGTATTAAAGTTTTCCGATTAAAAAAGAGTCATTATAATCGGTTCACACAATATACAGACTTTAATGATAGATGGGATAATCAAAGGCATTAGACAACGCCTACTGCCGTTTCTGGAATTGATTTAGTTTGTTAATGTGTTAATGATGTTCGTTGAATGATGAATGTTGACCGAAAGTTAGTCGACAATTTAAACTGACACAAAGTTCTTACAAATAGACTTGGAATAACAAACAAGCTGTTGGTTCACCTGATTGAAAGCGATAATCATCTTATATACATGAACAGTATCGTGGTTATCAAGAAATAAATGTATTCTGTGATGCAATTCATATGCAAACTAATGCGTTATTGTTCCTATGGACGCATTTTTTTAATAGATGATAATGAAACGGTAACCTTGCCTGAGCTATGCTATGGTGGTATACAGTATGCGCAGGCGGGGCACCAGTGAGGGATGAAAGGTGAAAATAAAGACAGGTCAGTTAGTCTATTGCGATGAATGCAGCTGAATTCAGCACGATGGTTTCCAGGGAGGACCACGTGGGGGTCGACCTGACAGGGTAAATTGGTGCTCGGTAGTCTGTATTATTAACAATTCCTTCTCCCCAGACTTTCGTCTTGGGAAAGGTGAATGAGCGGACCTTTAGCTTAGTCCTATTGGTTAAAGTAGGCTATCAGCTATAGAAGAAACCTATGTTAACGTGGCCTTATCCATAAGGGTCCAGAGATACAAATAGGTACAAAATAAAGAAAAAAGAAATAATTTATTCATAGAATTATGCAACTTACACAGTAGTATAAATGACAAAACTAAAAATAAAAACAAATAAACTGTTCTCAAGTTTGACAATATATTATACTCGTACCATGCAAAGTATACCATGGGCATCACAGTATATTTTGTGATGCCCATGTACACAGGAGATGGTTACCATTTTCCAAAAAGTGGGCCATTAGTTTATATACCGTTCTGAGTATCATAAAAAAAAATAGAATTTAAAATTGCGTGTGTTTTTGTTATGACTCTGCTTTATTCCGCTGTTTCGCTCACGTGAATCTATCACGTCACTATATAAAGTATTATATGTTCTAAATTAGGATGTAACCTATCAATGTTCCAAATTTCATTCAAATCCGTTCAATAGTTTTTGCATGAGATAGTAACAGACATCCGTCCATACTCACAATCTTTTTATGCAATGGCAAATAAGCGTACATACCACCTTGTGGAAAGTATACCACTTTTTACCATTGCTTAAATTTTCACGTTTGTAGAATTTAATATGTGGTCTACATGAGAATTGTAATAGGTATTTATTAGAGAAATTAATTATAAACAAATATATCAATAAGATAAATTGACGTTTATCTACGATAATTGATTCATAATCAGCGGTCGGAATAGGTTGAGCTATTTATAGTACCAATGGCACGCGAGCGTAGTATAGATATGCCTTTATTACAATAATATTATTTGTGAAGGAAAATATTGTCCGTGAATTTTGTATGATTATTAATTACTACAACCCGTATTGAAAATATTATTACAATGAGATATAATTTATGAAAATTCACAGTTTAATTATTAAACTGTGAAAATTTTCACAAAAGTCTAAAAACATTTAGTGAAATACCTTTTTTTATTACGCAACGTGGATGGCCCGTCCATAATAGAAAAGGTGAACCTGAAGGAATGCTGATACGATTACTTATTTAAATGCTTTTGTACATTCACTTCAATATAGATATCAGGTTACAATGAAAATATACACAGGCCGACATATCTGTCGAAGGGATTATTCCTAACTTAATTAGAAGTTATTAATAATTGTTTTATTTATGGCTTGTTACACTAAATAAATTTTATTGATGTATTATATTAGCATTTGTTTTATTTAAAAAAGGATAAATTCTTTCATTATTAATAACGTGATAAAACTGAGAATAAAACATTATCGATTTGTTCGATCCAATGAATATTTGTAATTCCAATGTCATGTCTATATGATGATGACGTTCTACGGTCGGATCACTGACCCGTAATCGGTGTACATATTCTGATCAATTAATAAATGAAATCGTTGATGTGACACGTGTTTACCTTGTATGCAGTTAGTCAATCGTGGGAAAATAGGGCGTACGTTTACAAGGTTGTCCCTTTTGATGTTTACTTTTTTAGAAAGTTAATAAAATGTGACTGTGACTGTGAAATTATGTCAATGTCGTGTTTTATATGTATGTATTTTCTATGTGTTTATATTAGATAGGTATACTCGTAGCTTATAAAGGCCGTTCGTTGTTTTCTCAATGTGAACATTTCTTGTAATTGTTTGTATCTATAATAAGTTTACTATTGTAATCTTTTGGAGGAAACAATAAAGAGTATCTATCCATATATCTATTTCCTAAGTACTAGTATTAATCCGCGATTTCGCCCGTGTTACAGGGATATTTGCGTAATCGGGAAAAAAAGTAGCTTATGTGCTTCTCCGTTTTAAATACTGGTTCCTTATGTTTCTTTTATGAGTAATAATAGAATGGTAAGTCCGTAAATGCTGTGAGTAAATGCTAAAGGGATACCAATGAGAGATAATAGGTGAGGATGAAAGTAGGTCAGTTAGTCCATCGTGACGAATTCAATAAAGATTAAACACGATGACGAGGGAGAACCGCTTGCAGCTCGACCTGATGTTAGTATATTGCTAGTTATTGGACGGGTCAAACAATTTCTTTCCCTTCAGTTTTTTATGTTACACCGAATGATATTTGAATTGAATAATTACTTAATTTAAAAGGCGAAATAAAAATTGTTAATATAATTCTAAAGGAACGCCCTAAGTGCTAGTGAAAAGGAATATTATTCTTAAAAAAATAAACTCGTTTACTATTAGCCTCTTCCCTCTATATATGGGATTTATATATTGTTTAATTTCTCATAACATAGCTTGAGAGCCTTGGGGGTAATAAATCCCTTAATAAGGAGTAGGCATAGGATTATCTAGCGCCTGTTACAGAATAAGGAGCAGAGCTTTCAATTACAGACAGAAACATGTCTGAGAGTACATAAGTACCTTTTTTTAAAGATCTAGCTCCCTTCTCTTCTCCATAAATAATTTTAAATACGCCCACTGCCGTTATTATAATTTATTATTTTTATTATTTAATGTGAATATTATTTTTATTTAGATATGCGCAGAACGCGGATGGCGTATGTACCAGGGTTACAATGGACACGAGGACAAGTGGAATCTTTGGTGGCGAACAAGTGCCTTCCCTTCAGCGTGTTATAAGGCACTTGGCGATTGGCAGGTTATTTTCTTATTATTTCTTATAGGGTTATTCCATAATATTCTTAAGGTTGTTCTGTAAATGACCATCTTATCCTATTAGGGTATTTATGGATGAAAATGGAACGGTAATCCTACCTGCGCTATTGGAATACATTGGCGGGGTACTAGTAAGCGATGATTTTTTTTATACAACTTAGAATGGCAAACAAGCTGACGGCCCACCTGATGGAAAGTGGTAACCGTCGCCTATAGAAATGAGCAGTACCATGGACATAACAGAGTATACTGTTTCATCCATGATACCTCCCATGCATTGCCATTCTTGAGGACTCAGATATTATTCCTCTGTACCCTGTAAATTCACGCCATATCACACCCTTCAAACCGAAACACAGCCATGCAAACACAACTGCTTCACGGTAGAAATACGAATGGGACAGAGGTGCCCAAGCAATCGACTTTTGTACAAAGTCTCCCTCTGGTAAATAGATGGGGATGCAAGCAGGTCAGTTGGCCCATCATCATAAATCCATCCTAACGTATTCTAACAGTTCTAATGGTTCAGTTCATCTACCTAATAAGGTCATGCTAATTGATTTCACATTTGTCGAATTTAAGTAAGATAATAACTTAAATATTAAAAAAAAAAGTTATTTAAGTTACATTTGCAAACACAAACACACACACACATACGCATAATCTATATATATATGTACATTCTAAACGTTTGACTGATAGAGAATGTTATTATATTAGACTTAAATCCGTTATATTGTTCCGTGTACTTTGAGGTTAATAAAATTATAAATAGTTACTTTAACGTTTCGCGTTTGAATTTTACGTTTGAATCCTAGCACGAATTACATTATCGATAAAGTATTTATCTACTCTTTTTTTAATAGATGACAATGGAATGGTAACCCTGCCTGCGCTAACGGTATATGCTGGGACACTAGTGAGGGATGATAGATAAGGATGCAAAGGCAGGTCAGTTAGCCCATCGTGATGAATACACTTGGAATGGGGGAAAGGGATTGTTAGTAATGGAGATTGAGAATCCAATTGCTAGCAATATACCCAACCAGATCGATCTCCTCGCGGTTTTTCCTGGAAACTATCATAGTTAATTCCTGATGAATTCATCATGATGGGCTAACTGGTCTGTTTTCATTCTCATCTATCACCCTTCATTGGTGATCCGCCAGCGTATCCCGTTAGCGCGGGCGGGGTTGCCATTCAATTTTCACCCATAAAAAAAATACACTTGGAATTCAGCACAATGGTTTCCAAGGGGACCACGGGGAGGTCCACCTGATAGGGTATATTGCTAGCAATGGGACTGGTTGTCCGCATTACTAATAATCCCTTCTTCATCCCCTATTACCTACTTGTAATATAATTACAGTTATTAGGAAGTTAACAAATTGATTTATTGATTGAGCAAAGAAAACTTGAGTGGCGACCTCGTACGGGCAAACGCAGTGTAGGACGACCCCCCATTAGATGGAGTGACGACCTAAAATGCATTGTAGGAGGTAGTAGGCCTGTAGCGCAGGACCGTTCTTTATGGTAGTTTAATGGGAGGCCTATGTTGATCAATGTACAGATAATGTTGAAATTAATTGATAATCGCTTGAAACATCTATTTTCATTTCTAATACATTATTTGATTTATTAGTTGAAAGATGTATTCTATATTACGTAAACCATGTATATGTGATAAGAACCGGTTAATCAACCTTGAACCCTAACCTAGAAATCTGACGGTTTTATTTACTGCAGTAACACCTTAGAACCGCATAGTAAGCGCTTGCTTGATTTACGCAATCGGTACTGACTTTGATTACGCGGACTTCGATTACAGATATTAAGATTGGTAAGATTGCTTCAATTGTTTAGTATGTCTTAACTAGTTTAATACAAATAAGTACTTCGTAGGATCATCTTTGTAGTGAACTGGGTGAAGAACCCAGAAACTCGCAACTGATATCAATTTAGATAATTGAATACACTTATTTTATTTTATTTTGAATTCAATTGTATACATTTTTCAGTTCATGAATCATATACCTAAAGGAGGGTCGATATGTCGAAAGGATGGACTATCCAGATTACTTCGTTGTATGAGGAGAATTTATGGTTCCATATATGACTTCAGGTAATATTTATTTCTTTTACTTTTTTTTTCATTTACTCATCAATGGTGGACAAAGGACACATAATATATATATTTCCGTTAATATAATAGTAAAATTAGGTTTACATTTACTTTCCATAACTCTGTGTGATGACAGAATAAGAATGTAAATTGTAACCATTTCTATTCACCTCCATTCATATCGTACCAGGAAATTAGTATCCAGTAATAGTGATGATGAGGAAGTCCTGAAAAGAGTGAACGAGAAAAGAACATTAATTAAAATAATAGAGAACAGAAGAGGCAAAATGCTGGGCCACCTTATACGACATGACGATTTTTTTAAGAGCATAGTTTTTAAGAGCATAGTAGAGGGCAAAAGAGGAAGAGGAAGACCGAGGAATAACTATATGGGACAGATAAAAGAAACACTAGGTGTCATGTCGTATAGGGAGATCAAGGCTGAATGAAAATACATGAATTAGTTGCACCGACAAGAGGAAACTCTTAAATGAAAAGAAGAATAGTGATGACATTAATTTAAAGGTTGCATAAACGATATATCTTCTTTGGGAAGATACACTTTATATCCTGAGGAGATATAAATATCGCTACTTAGAACATCTTAAAATTCCTATCACTAACAGGAATTAGCAGGGAACTCTAAAAAAGGGCGAGTTCAATAGATCATAGAGATCAGAGTATGACAGGTTTTTCTACCTTAAAAGCCCATTTCTTAATGATAATAAGTATGTCTGCATGAAAGTTATGATTATTTACAAAGAAAATTAGAATCGAATATTTCATTCTTATAACGTTTTAACATTTCATTCGTACTGTCGTTTATCGAAAGTCATTTAGTCGTCGATCGAATCTTTAATGCTAATTTATGTGTCTCACACTAATTGGGTTACAGAAATAAAAGTCCAAATATAAAAGTTATTTTAGTACAAGGCTATATTTGTATTGGGTTCGTTCTTTTTTTACAATTTAAAACCATGGAACGATGTAAAAGATGTAAAAAATATTTCTGGCACACGCAAGAGCTATTGAATCAGAATAATGACTGTAAATGGTAATTTTATTTATCCTGACGGAATTAACGTCGCTGGCGGGATCTCGTGTTGTTTTACAAATAGATTAATAAAATTGATTTAAACCTGACGTATTACAACATCAGCCCCATTATTTTGCTTTTCAGCGATTTATTATTGTCTGTTTCATGTTAGTTTGTTGTCACAAAAAATGTAAAGGTACATTTAGAGTTTAACGAAAAGATAAAATAAACCTTTATTCATCTATTCATGTATTGACCAAAAGGAGACTGTACAAAAGTCGTTTGCTTCGGTACCTCTGTTCCATTCGTGTGTCTACTGTGAAGCAGTTGTGTTTGCATGGCTGTGTCTCGGTTTGAAGGGTGGGATATGGCGTTTACAGGGTATAGGGGAATAACACCTGAGTCCTCAGGAATGGCAACTCATGGGGGTTATCATGGGCGAAACAGTATACTCTGATATGTCCATGGTACTGCTCATGTCTATAGGCGATGGTTACCAATTTCTATAAGATGGGCTGTCAGCTTGTTTGCCATTCTATTTATTCATTATCTAATTAAATAGAATAAATACTTATTTCTAGATTTTTTTAAGTGTAGAAACTTTAGGGTGCATAGTATTTACCAAGACCATTCGCTTATAATAACTCAGAGAGGAAAAGTATTGGCGAAGATATCTTGTAATTATGTTTAAATTACTACATTTCTAATGTAGGTAGTATATTAATTTATTGTAACATTTATTATATAGGCCGGTTGGTATTATATTTATGAAATATTATAATATATATTGGTATTTCATTTAACTATTTATTTGTAGTTTATGTATGTATTGATGTTGTTCGCACAGCACCTTAGTTGCTCTCTTATATGCTTTCCTACTGTATTGGGTTGGCTGGAAGAGATCTCTTTCAGAGATAAGTCTACCCTTGCTCGCAATATTTATAAATTTATTATATATGTAATTTACAAGTGCAATATATATATATATATATATATATATATATATATATATATATATATATATATATATATATAGAAACACACTTATTTAAACGAAAAATTAAGGTAGATACCATTACAACAAAGGTAGATAATGAATTCGCGGTGTCTGTTACAATTTAGTAAGGGAACATGTTGATTGTAGCAAGTACGGTACTGAGGCATAAGTCGTGATGTACCGAATTGGTCTTTTTGTTATTCGAGTATTTTGGTACTCGAATAATAAAAAGTAAAGTAAAAAAATAATTTAATACGGATTCGAATTTAAGGACTTTGTTAAGTACTCGAGTATTCGAGTACTTTATTATATGAGTATTTTTTCAATTATATAATATTTCAAAAAGAAAACTATTCAGTAATCTAATAATTCGTCCCTTGGTAATTAGTTTTTCAATATGTAAATTTATGTAAATATTAGCATCTATGTGTACCAATTAATATCAATATCGCATTTGAGTTTTCTATCACTTCCTTACTATCGAATGGAAGAGAATACTTCTATTATACATACTTTTTAAACCAAAGAACAAATAATTAAGAAAATATTATTTTCTGGAAAAGAAAAACTTACCATAAACACACGAGTAATATTTGACTACCGTAAGTACTCGAAATCATTATTCAAATAACGCTTATCCGAGTTCTGTATACTGAGTATTCGAAATACTCATTTAATATTTGAGTCTGTATTCGAATCAGCTGTAACTTGGCACATCACTAAGCACGAGTCAATCGCGCGCGTCATCAGTTATTTGAATGAAACCACGCTTTCATTGCGTGTTACACGGCATTACTCCACAGTTTTTTATAGACATACAAAAAACGGATTTGCACCAAAATAAAACCATATGGCAGATGATGACTTGCTTAAATTTTTAGGTTTCACCGTTCTAGTTGAATAATTTCCTTTATGCACAATAGTTATTGTCTCATCATCAACCAGAGGGAAACTTTGTACAAAAGTCGTCTGCTTGGCAACCTTTGTTTCATTCGTATTTCTGCCGTGAAGTTATGCTTTTATTATTGTTTCGGTTTGAATAGTGAGATATGGCAGTGAGAGTATGGAGGCATAACACAATAGTCCTCAGGAAGGACGACACAGATGTTGTCTATTGTAACCCTCATGCAGTATTAAATATTCAAATATTCTGGTATTTGATATTATTGGTGCTGTTCATTTTATGTATGTGCGACGGTTATCACTTTCTATCAGGTGGGGCATCGCTAGGTTGTTTGCACTTCTAAGTTGAATAAAAATCAATATAATTTCAGTCCTTAATTATTCAGTGCTGAGCATATTCCTATTCCATAGATAAATAATACGTCATAAGGAACTGTCCCGAACCATGTGCATCCCCTGATATTTCGAGGTCGTTACTCCAGGTAGAGAGAGGTTTTTCTTTTTTAATGATAACCCCGCCGGCACTATCGGTATTCGCTAGCGGGACACTAGTGAAAGGTGATATAGGTGATAAATGAAGATAAAATCTGGTTTTACCAATTAGGAATTCACCAATAATTAACCACGACGGTTTCCAAGGGGAACCGAGTAGAGGTCAACCTGTTAGGGTATATTGCTAGTAAAACGGCTGTTAGACCCCATTACTAACAATCCCATTTCCCCCTGTAGAGAGGGGTTGTTCAACATTGTGTTTACCTGTATGGGGTCGCCACTCAAGAAACTTTTTTCCCCATCAGTTATTAATTTTATAAGCTGTAGGGTCAGTTCATTATCATTTTTTGTCTCCTTTTTACTACACTTTTATATCGACTTCGTGTACAAGTTTCGTGTACTTTTTAAATTTAAAGTGAAACTATAAGCTATAAGTTTCATAAATAGTTGCTAGTAAGGACTATAAAGCTGAACGTTTAGTGAAGTTAAATTAAAAAGTGCATTTAATAAAACTAGTTTTATTTCATTGTTTCAAATGTATTGTATAAATAAACATACTTCATAAAGTTAACTACAAGACTCAGCGCCGCTAATAGTTTTATCTTCTGTTTGTATTTTCAAAACTTTAAAAGGTCAAGCTAATTAATTATACGAAGGTGAAAGTTCAGGGCAATATAAAATTATAGATTCAATTTATTAATGAACAATATCCCTGCAATTACTCCAAGTGGTACCGCAGTCGCGTGACGATTGCAAAAAGGGAACTAAACGAATGTCGTACTTTTATTTCGATTCTGTTGCTCGCTTGGGCACGTTAGGAATTTATATCTAAATAGGCAAATATAAATGCATTTATTCGAAACATTTTAAAGGTATCTATCGACATCATAGATTTTATTACATTGATTGATTGATTGATTATTATCATAGATTACATTGTTTTGTCACTTTCAAATTAGGAATTTAGCACAAAAGAAAGACATAAAACAGTTATATAGCTAAAATAGGTTTAATGTTTTTTTATGAATATGGTAGTTAGTCAGTTTAACATTCACTTTAGTTTAACAATGTCCACAATGTGATACTATATCATATACTGCATACATATATAGGTAACGATTGATTTCACACACTAGCTCACTTGTAATTTCGTTTTGCGTCTACTACAATAACCGATAGTTATTATAAATCGAATTTGAAATGAAACGGTAACCAACTTCTATTTAATTTATCACAGAAACACTCTTTAAATGAAAGTATTGGAAAATTGAAACGTTAAATGAATAAATCGGACGTCACACTGTGTTATGGTCCTGTCAATTATTTGTTTATTTATATTTTCATTCATTTCTATTAAAATAAACTATATCACATTATGTGAGACTATGCGGCGATCTTACGCGATACGGGTTCAGCATAGAATGGGCTACCCCTTCCTTTCCGGGATGAAAAGGATTGTTAGCAATGGAGTCTGACAGCCCCATTGCTAGCAATATGCCTTATTAGGTCAACCTCCACGTGGTTCCCCCTGGAAACCATCGTAAATAATTCTTGTTGAATTCGTCACGATGGGCCAACTGACCTACTTCATCCTCACTTATCATCCTTCACTGGTGCCCCGCCAGTGTATCCTGATAGCGCAGGCGGAGTTACCATTCCATTATCACCCATTAAAAAAACCCTTCCTTTCCCGTGGGTATCGTAATACGCGGCTAAGGGTACTTAACGGTCGAGAAATGGGCAGCAGCGTTTTTCTTAAAACATCATCAAAGCCTAACTGCGGTTGCCAACTAGCCTGTCAAGCGTGGTAACTATTGCCAAAACCTTCCTTTATAGGGGAGGTCTATGTTCAGTGGTGGACAGTTAAAGGCTGGTATGATGAAGCTGTGATAGCTCAGTCGAATAATGTTTGACTGTGAATTGGATATCTTAAGATCAAGGCTTAACTTTTGAATTTTCATGGTTGGGTTATGTAAAAAAAAGTGGCTTTATAAGTCACGTCAGAGGTTTACAATGAAGGTAGCCTAGAAACTCTTGACATCAAAGGACGACACTTTCACATTAGTAGGAGTAGCATTCTTTTATTTTTTTTTGTGCTAAAAAACACAAAAATAGTTCAGTCCTCAAATTAGAATACCTTGTGTTATAAGGAACCAGGTGATTAATATCTGGGGGCGCAACCAGAACACCTAAACCCGAGCCAATTCAGAAAAGTTTCTTTTCTAAATTGGCTTCACGCGTAATCGAACCTTGCACCTCTTTAATGTAAAGTGATGGGCCACCAACCTGCGGACCTAATTACTACTACAATTATAACGAAATATTATTAGCTCCACTTCTTTTTTTCTGAAATAGGTTAAAAAGAGTTTCGTTCTTCGGATGAACTAAACATTGTATGACGTTAGTTATTGCTCGCTGGCATTGTTTAGTGACTATGTCACTCGTAAATAAGAGTGAATATAGAAGGAAACATGAATATTTGAATGTTGTTTCAAATTATACTACTACTATGGGGTTCAGTTTGATGTTGTACAAAGTATTTTATTAAAAATATACTGGTAATATAATATGAAAGTGTAATAAAGTGGTTGAAAGATATGTATTTGGTTTAAAGAAATCAGAAGTAACCTAACACACAGCTTGAGGAACTGTATTCCAATGACAAAGAAAGGCTCTCAAAATTAAGTAAAATCTGTGTCTAATTCTACTGAAATTGTCAAATGTGTTGTTGGAAAAAGCAATTATATATATATATATATATATATATATATATATATATATATATATATATATATATATATATATATATACTTGAAACGATTCCTTATATATATAAAGATATATAATCAAATCAGGAATTCTGATTAAGACGACAACCCTAACATTATCAAATATCGGTTTCATGACATGTTAAGAAATATATATATTTCCCCATAATTCAATAGCCGTAAAATTCTGACTGTTCTTCATATTATAGGAGTTTACTTATGAACACCATTATCTATCATCGACATATACCATTTTATTTTCACTCGACTTGCGGATTCTCGTGTTATCTATGACTCTGCGTAACACGCAATATTTATTGTAAGTGCTCTACAAAGATCAGGGTTATGTTCATGTCGAAGTTCAGAGTCAACTTTCTGGTTTCATTTTTCTGTGAATTTAAAAATAAACATATGTACAACAAATGAGTTTTTACCACGGTTATATCTTTGTTTGTATGATATTACGACCTTGTTGCAAAAGTTATAACGTAACAGATGAAATGCAAGTATGATTTAAAGGCAAACAAAACAGTAATTCTATTTTAAAAAGTGTAACAATTACTGTGACAGTTGGTTAATATTCTGTCCTATTATTAACATTATATTTTTACTAAAGAAATATTGGTTGAAAAATATCAAAAATTTAGAATCTCTCTTATTAATTTTACAGCCAGACCATATAAGTTTCATTTGTAATACTTTTCCCTAAAAGGGTACTATTTATTTAATTTCATATAAAATCTTTAATATGTAGGGTCCGGGCTAGCTCTAGCACTGTCCTGAAGGTGTCTGCGAACCATCCAGACAGCCAGTACTTAAATCATTGTAGTAATGATTCACATGCTGGCTAATATGCAAAAAAAAAGAAGTAGGTTATATATGGATGAATAAAATGTTGTTTATTCACTCATATTTTATGAATATCTATATATGTAATTTATTATATGTAAGTTATTGTCTGTTGTGAACTTATAGATAGATAGATACTCTTCATTGTTTCCTCCAAAAGATTACAATAGTAAACTTATTATAACCAATAGTAAATGAATCTTGAAATAAATTATTTTATTATTATTACTTTCAAAATTCACTTGCAAACATTCCTGATTTTATATTTATATATAGCTGTAGATAGTTTGGTAGTTATGAAAGAATTACACGGAAGCTATGGTATCGAGTCAAAATTGAATAATGTCTCTTAGAGAATAATATATGATATTTGCCATAAATATAACAGTCAACATTTGTTTTCATATAAACGAAAAAGCTCAATTTGTCTCACATTCAAATTAGATGTTACTAGACATGAATCAATTTACTTGAGTAATGATTCTTCGAGGTTTTGAAATAAGCGTTCTAGATTCAGACTTTAGTTTTTGTATATAAGTATTACCTATAGGAAATAGAAAAACTAGTGAATAATTTGGTACCTAGACTTTTAAATACTAATACACAGCTATAAGAGAATGTTGATTATTTAGATTAAATTTCTAATAAAAGTGTCGTACCTACCGTACCATATCAGAAAAAAATTAATTTTCTGATATGATAACTTATTCAAGTTATTACTTACTTATTTTGGAAAGGCCAATCATATTATTTATTTAAAAAAATCGTCTTTTTTTAATTTACATTAATTTAAAAATGATCTGTATCCATTATTAACAATCCTCTTCCTCATAATAAGAGATATTGTTATTGAGTGCCACCCAATAACACGGAGACAACCCTGACTTTAACTTTCATGAATACGGTATCTTTTATTGTGGGGAAGGGGATTATATATATAATATGATGAATAAATCACTATCATACTATCCTGGAAACCATTATAGTTAAATCTTGGCGAATTTGTCATGGTGGGCCAACTGAATTCGTTTTATCCTCACCAGTATCCTGTTATTACAAACATGAACACAGGCGGATCACTGTTCCTTTTCCATATTTAATTAAAAATATTTCTAATTTGTCATTTCTGACATTTACAGTCCGCCGTGCTACCACTTGCCGTTGGAGTATGCGAAACTAGTATCAGAGTTTTCCCGACTGCGGCGGAGCGAGGACGACACTGGTTCGAATGTCGTGTGGATTCATAAACCAGTCGCGCAGAGCCAGGGCAGGGGGATTTTTCTATTTCGGGTAACTGTAGATATTCATTATTATACACTAGCACACTATTTTTACTGATTATTTATGACAAAAGAGATTTCTTTGCAAAATTTTATGTTATTAGACAAAAACTTTTTATCTGTGAAAAAGGTTGAGCATAACTTTATACAGTGAAGAGCTATTGGTATCTCATGACTCAAATTTGGTTCTGATGTAATTCACACACTTAAATTGTATTTTCATCAGTCATATGAGATCAATTCAGAATGGAAATGGAATTTGATAGAACGGTTTGTATTACATATCTCAAATAAACTCTGGATGGACTCAAATAAAATAAATGGATCAAAACGAATTGTTTAATTTCAATTGTCGTCAATTCTAAGTTGCATAAAAAATATATTTTATCGATATACCAACACTACTGGAATATTTTCTATTTTTATGGATGTTATTTGTTAGTTAATTTAATTAAGATTTATTTTCATTGCAGAGTATCTGCGAGATGCGTTGTGGTAGTTCGGCTGTTGTGCAACGATACATCGAGCGGCCATTACTGATTGCTGGATACAAGTTCGATCTACGGCTTTACGTGTGTGTACCTGGATATCGGCCTCTGACAGCGTATATGTATGCTGAAGGATTAGCTAGATTTGGTATTGTATACTATACCTGATATTATATACTGTAGTATATTATAGTCTCTATTATATTGTTTTTTTTTTGCAATTTAGAATAGCAAGCTTAAAGCCCACCGTAACTGTCGCCTATTTATATGAAAAATACCATAGATATCACAGGATACACGGTGTCCATAGTACATGTCATGACTAGATATTCCGCAACAGTTTGATTTTTATTCATGATATACTCGCTTTTATATTTTTTCATTCTATATTTTGATTCATTGCACTAGAGTTTTGTCAAAACAATTATATTCAATTTATATACTTAAAGTACGCGGTATTCCTGTAATTTGTATTTGGGGATTCGTAGATAATAAACGAAGAGATGGTTAGTAGCGTCCCTCTTAAAACATCCCCAAAGGGCTAACTGCGGCTCATATCAATATTTCTTACATATATCTCATGCACAGACATCATCTAGTTACGACTTTAATATATAAGCAAGATAATACAATAGAATAAAATAATTACTTTTTTTTTATTTAATTTCAGGGACAGACAAGTATACATTGACGGATATTCACAATCCATACAGACACCTGACCAATTCATCGTTGAATAAATCCGGACCAAGATATGCAGAGTGTAAAGATAGAATAGGTAGTGGTAAGTTAGAATGTTTTTGTTTTTTTTTATTTGTTTTATGTCGTGTGACCCTGGCATAGAATGGACTACCTATTCCTTTCCCATCGGTGTCATAGGAGGCAATTAATGGAATTTAATGGTTGACCTTAAAACATCACCGAAGCCTAACTGTTAACCAACCCGCCTACCAAGCGTGACAACTACTGTCATAACTTTCCTCTTATGGCTGAGGATATGTTTAGCAGTGGACAGTTAAAGCCTGATTATTTATTTATTTGCATGTACACAAGTAACAAATATAAGGTGGTTATAATGCCATTAGGTGTTTTTTACCTGTTAAACATGTATAGTACAGTAATGACGTGACCAATGGCATGATCAGAGAGATGATGGCGGTACAGAAAAAAGATCATAAAATAATTAGAAATAGTAAATATAAGGTTTCTTTTTTAAATAAAAAAAAAAAAACATTAATTACATTTTATTACTATATGAGTACTTGTACAATATATATACCAGGTTCGGGAACGTAACATTTTCAGAAATACCCGGCCATATGTTAGATATATTATACAGTACATGAAGCAATACGTCGTCGATCCTGAAGATATATTTTCATGCTTTTCTTGAACAATGTTATGCTACATATAGTCTCTACATTTCAAAATTAAATATTTTTAGGTTGTAAGTGGACATTAAAACAAGTGAGAAGGGCATTAATCGGGCGATGGGGTGCGGCCGAGTGGTTGGTATGGCAAAGAATTAGAGCTCTGGTCACCTTAACCTTATTTGCTCAAGCAGCCGGCACTCCTCCAGCCAGGAATTGCTTCGAGTTTTATGGATTTGATGTGCTTCTTGATGACTCTTTAAAGCCTTGGCTAATAGAGGTGAGATTTTACCAAAATGTTGTTTTTTAAGCGTCAGAGACTTAATGGATTCATTTTATACATAAAACTAATATATAGCAAGCAGTTGAAGCAGTACATTTTTATGCATCTTGGAATCATTTCATCTATCATGCAATGGAAAACAAACTGAAGAGCCCACTTGATAAAAGTAGTTTCTGTCATTCATATTAATTTCTTGAGAAAATGTTTTCTAAGAAGCTTGGTTAATTACTAAGAATTTCTGTATTTGGTCTCGCAATTCGGCTGTTGTACATGAGAATGTGGGTAGTCCAGGTCTCTTAGACTGTTTTAGTTCTGAGATGACTTTGTCACATGTCTCTAGAAGAGAATCTGTTGTCCTCAGAAAACCATTTAATATGCCAAACGTCTTCAAACTGACGACAAGATTTTTAGGATTTTTAATACCCATTTAAATTGATGTTTTAAATATTCAAGGTGAACCTGTCTCCGGCGCTGGGGGCGGACTGCGAGGCAGATGTAACAGTAAAACAGCCAATGCTCCATGAACTTTTCGACCTGCTGGGATTGCCGATGAAACACACTGGACTTTCATTGCTAAGAGGACAAAATCATATGAACATCACTAGGTAGAGATGTTGTTTATATATTATATAAAAGTGATAATAGTTTCCTAACGATGATGAATATAAACGATAGTTCATGCATTACTGTTCATGAAGACTAAAATATTACATAATTTCAGTTATATATTGAAAAATATACGTATATAGCTGTATGAGACAGTTATAGTGGTACAGCCTCTTGGCAATAAGAGCATAAGCAAGACAGAAATACCTATGATAGGTCTTTTTACAGTCTTCTCAATGAGATTAATTTTAAGGGACTAGGAACCTACTAATGTTGTCGATTGATTAATGATGGTGTGTGTACGAAAGTAAATAAGTATGGAATTTGGTACAATGTGCAGTCGTTTGGCTTGATGGAAGTACTATGAGCTACGTGATGACCATGTAAAGTTTATATGACATCTAAGAACTGTCAAAAACTTAGAAAATTTTTATTACGGATGCTTATTTGTTGTAGTTATTGTTCGGAGGATGAGAGTGGGATTCCTCGGCCTGCCCCAGTTCCAACGACAACTGTCAGACGCGGGACGCGGTGGAGACGTCGTCGAGCCATGCCGATACACTGTGTCACACTGCCGCCCAGTACAGCGGGAAGTGACACTGAAAAAGCTACGGTAAGGTAACATGTACGTAATATAATATGCACCAATTTCAGTCAAATGTGAATAGGCACCCCATAGACCAGCAAGCTCTATTTTAGATCACATCATCGCTTTCCAACAGGTAAGATCGTCATCAATCGCGGGACCCTCCAATAGTAAAGCCTACCTAAAAATGTTTTATAAGAAGCGTAGCAATCAAGCAATTCCATCCGTTTATATTAGTTATGCAGAGAACAGTTATACATTAGTTGTGATTTTTGTAAGAAATTTCTGTTTTCTGTATAACTAATTAGATCTAGTTGGAGCTAGTTATTCTTAACCTAACCGTCCAGGGTTGGTAAGTACGTGTAGTATTTTATTTCGAATTTTCTTTTTTACGTACCAGTGCTTTATTCCTCAGTTGGTTCTTACAACATCCTGACGATAAAAAGGCGTAATGACACATTACGTATTGGTATTAATTTTCGTATCTTCACAATCATATTATCAAATGGAACTCCGCAGTTTGAGAACCTTTATAACACAAAACGCATCAACTACTCGCTGACGACTCGTGTCTTTAATAAAGTAACATGAGTTACTTTATCAAGGAATTTAATTTGAATACTTTAAATGAATAATATAGTATTAGTAAATTAATTGAGGTATCTAATATCAATATTATTACTAACATGATATTCTTAATATGTTTTGAACATAATACTTAAAGTATTTGTATATTACCAGATCTTTTTTAAATTTAGTGGCTGTGGACATATTCAAGACAGCGATGTTTTTGTAGAATATAAGAAATAATAGTAATTTTTCTGTTACAACTTATATGAAATATAAATAAGGGTATTATCTATATTTCTAGGATACGAGTGAAACAACAAAGGAACTAAATATTGGACAGTTATCCATGTCATCGCCGGAAAGTTCTGACAATTCGGATATTCAGGTCTGTATTGTTTTACATATTAAAAATATAACGTAATTTAATAAGACACTAATGGCTATTTACAAAATTACGTATTTAATTACGTATTAAGTAAAATTATTTTATCAGGTGTCAGGTTAAATTTGTAATTTGTCACAAATAGCTGCCTTTGAAAATCTGTTCGACAGTTCACTGTCTTTATGTCTTTGTGATTATGAATTTTATTGAATTAAAGTCTGTGCTTTCACAAGAATTGTAATTCCTGCCAAAGCAAGAAATATCAATCAGACTATAACTTCCACATTAATCTTTGTCGCTTGTTACTACTCTTTGATATATATTAAAGTAGGTCAATTTTAGACCAGAGTTCTGAATAATTGCCATTAAATAACCAAATTATATTTGCGTGACAAACAGGTATCAATATTACAAATGTATTAAACAATCGCAAACAATTGAATAAGCCTTATTTTGAATTGTCTAGAGTCTAGAATCGTTAAACTGTAATTCTTTTCAAATATCTGTCATATTGTTTTAAATTCTTATCGTGACTGTTCTATAATTAGTATAAATCACGCGATTGAAAAAAAAAAGTTCTAGAAAAGTTGTAGAAATCAATAACTATGTTCTTTATTTATCAAGGAACAAATTCGCTAAGTGTTCTAAATTCAAGCTTCTTATTGAAATAAATAAAGAGGAAAAAACATGTAGTTTTCATATTATAATATTGTTAGTATTCTGAGAAAATATATACACATTACACATGTTATTATACTATATAGACTCTGTGGGATGTATCTCTGTTACATAATTAGTTTTATACTCGTAAATATAAGCCGCTTTTTTAGCTTTGATCTTCTTCGAAGAGTACATAATGTAATGCACCCTGACATTTCTGGATATTTATGTGATTAAAAAATGCATGACTGCTAAGAGAAATTAGATAATGTTGTAATAGAGTTAAAGTATAAAAGTTAAATCTAAATAATGTATTCATGATTTATTTCTATTTTTATTTAATATATCTATTTAATATAAGTACAAATTTATTATTATTATGATATTAATAATAATTTATGTAAATTTCAGTCCACATCGAGTATGGCCATAACATCAGCAGATTCGGTGGATGAGTCATGGAAAGGCGGGTACGCGACAGCGGCGAGTCGTAGACGTATGTTGAGCGCCTGCTCTTGGGGGAATGGAGTGCAGTGGCACCGCGCAACAGGAAGAGTAGGGCAATGGGTGCGAATATTCCCACACACAGTGTCTGGCGACGATCAAGTAAGCATATCTTTACTAATATTATTAACTTTACTGTTTATTTGTTTAGTACTTCTTGGTGCCTTAACCACTGAACAAATTGTCATGGATATACCTATACCCGTATTTTTTAGTATAGAGAAGGGCATAGGCAACTATACTGATCTATAAATATATCTAAATCACGTGGAAGGTAAATTCCGGGTAAAAGCTAGTACTTATAATATAAATATAAATTTTTCTTTGATTAGCTTAATAATGTAGTTGACTAGTAGTATTTGGTACTAGGCAATACACTTGAAAGTTATTTTATCTTTCTGATACTACACATAATACCGAAGTTTGTAAAGATGTTTGGATTATTGATTAATTATAATTTAAATTTACTATGTTTAGATGTGTTAATCACGTTTAAATGATCGATTAGATTTCAATGAAATCTACTACCTATAGGGATGAACCATATCCTAGAGGTATAGATATAATTTTTAAATTTAATTTAAATACTTCTCATATAGTCATTTACCATCAGGTGAGCCGCATGATCATTTGCCCTCTGTGTAAAAGGCAAATTTGCAATTAAGAGTTACCTTTTATTATATTTTCCAGTTACCAACAGAAGATGCACGCGAGAGTGTGGCCCAAGTGTCAAAGTTCATTCGTGCGGCACGGGAGGTGGTACGCGAGGGTGGTCGCGATATTCGCGGCCCTCGAGACGCGGCCCGCGACGCTGCTTTCGAGGCCGCACTGTGCCAGAAACTGGAATATAAAAACAATTTTGAAGTGTGGCTTCCACCATTCTGATGTGTTCAATTAATTATCTTTAAGCGATTAGTTAGTTAATAAATGCTTGCTCAATTTATTTGTACTGGAATATTTTGAATTGGCTGACAAACATTGTTGTGAAGGTTATGTTTATTCTTTTATTGGGTACTGTGACTATGATAGGATATTAAGATCAATGCTCTATCGAGAATTAAACTCGTAACCAACTTGTAATTTAGAGTATTACGGGTTTGATTCTTGTTTGAAGTATGAAACTATTTTAACTCATACCTAATTGTTGCCGAAGAAACATAACGGAATACGAGTATGCTATTGGTAAAGAAGGGACACTGGAAATAAAACTATATACTAAGTACTAACGTGGTAAACTAGTAAAATAATAAAAAACTGCATGTTATGGTAGAAGTTACGTACATACATATCTGTCACGCCTGTCTCCCATTAGGGTAGGCAAAAACAATGGAACGCCAAATGCTTCGATTCAAACAAACCTCTTTCGCTTCTTCCACATTCATCAATCTTTTCATACACGCTCGCTGGTTACGGGTACTTTTAATGTGGTAGAAGTTGTGTATATATATTACTGTAAAAGCTCGGATACTGATGATGTAAGGATTTTATATCATCATTTATATCGTCTTTGGGGCTGTCACCAAACCAAACCTATCTCTCTGATCACGAGAATGAATACCACACACTAAACATGTCTAAATATTATTTTGTAATTTCATTGACTATGTAATTGATGTAAATATAGATTTACCGTAAGTCAGGGTTTTATAGTAACAAACATAATATTTAGACACGCTTAGTGTGTGATGTAGCTCGAACAGTTCGGTTAGAAAGGTAGGTTAGGTTAGATTTGGTTTGGTTTGGTGAAATCCTGAAGAATCATCTTTTTTAGTAAAATCCTTACATTTACCAAATCATGTTGATGAAAATCTAAGATTTACCAATGTATGGGCTTTTATAGTAATATATAAATTTGATGTTTCACCAAATGTAACGTATTTTAAAGTTAGATTTTAAAATAGGATAATTATAGAGTTTGATTTTAGAAAATGTGTTACCGTAGATTAGTTTGAGATAAATCTACAAACATAATGAAGAAAGAATGTTGTCTTTATCAAGTTGAATTAATAAATACAATTTCTTTCTTTTACAATTGTACTTTTATAGCCATGTTTTCAAGCCAATTCTAAATAAACCAGTATTGTCTTTTAATATACAAAAAGTACCTATAATTGTTTATCCGCATATTCCCAAAATCTATTATCCATTGAATAACTTAATAATAGTAGTAAATGAGTAATCAACGCGCACGTGCCATCTCTAGTGTTGCAAGTGTTCATAGGTTACAGTAACTGTTTACCATCAGACGGGCTGTATGCTTGTTTGCTTGCCATCTTCGTGGTATAAAAAAAAGAAGGAGCTTGATCATCAGCAATTTCTCTAACCCTTTTCTCGATCTAATATTTTAATTTGATAGTATTGCAACATTACTGTTTTATTGACCATCTTATATTAAATTTGTAATAAATTTGACTTAAATATATTAGAAATTTGATGATGATATCAAACAGAAATTTTAAATTTTGAGAAATGGTACCTCTAAATCGATCCCAGTAGAAATTTTTCTATACATACGTGCATACACCAATATATTGAACGGATTTTATTGAAATTTAAGTAATATTCACGAGAAAATATTATCCCAACATACCGGACAATGATGAAGCATTATATAAATGGAATAGGAGACAAGATAAACCTTTTCGTCTTCAGGTTGTCTAAAGCGATGACTATGGTAATGTAGCATAATAGAGTAATGCATGAAAAGTAAAATTTAAAATAAAATCTTTAATATGTAACTGAACAGTGCAGTGATTAATAGCAAGCAGCAGAAGATCGCTCAAAGAAAATTCGGAACAACTCTTATGAGATTATCTTTTATCCGAGTACAGTAATAAGTAAAAGGATGTAAGAAGAAACGTTAAACAACATTTGGGCTATCAGTGGTTCATCATGGTGATTTCCATAAGTATTAAACGTAGTTAATTCTTTGTAATAATAATTATATACCTCATTTATGTGATAATTTGCAATGAGATCGAATCGAGATCGACGTGACGGTATATTACTAATAATGGGAACTAGCATCTTTATTACTCACGCCTCGTCGCACGGGCGTTATCTTACGACTTTTGTGTGTATGAAGGTGTTCGCTGAAATTTTATGTATAGGTAAATAATGTTTATTGTTTCTTCCAAAACACAGTAGCAAACTTATTCCTAATGAATGAGACGAAGACCATATTTCGCTTCCTTCACAGCGGAGTTATAAATATTGTAACTTCCCTTACTAATGGTAAGCCGGTGTAACCAGGTTGAAAAACGTTGAAAGAATCCTAGAAGTCATGTGAACCAATAATTACTTTAGGTTTTCATCTATACGGAACAACGTGACTTTGTGTATGTCAAGTTTAAAGTGTAAGTATAAAAAATCATACAAGAAGATTTAATTTACAAGGATACGGAACCTTCGAGACGTGAGTTTTACTCGCAATTTTTCTATTTCAATATATTCTAAATCAATTCTATATAGTTTATAATATATACATATATAAAATTAATTTAACATAATCACATATTTAAGCCAATTCAAATAAAGAATCAATTTCTTCAAAAAAAGAATTGATTGACAATTAAGAAACTAATTGTTATGTCTGAAAACGTACTAATTAATTTCGTAAGACTGCTTAATAATTTATATTTGAGTAAGCATTTTGAGGGTCATGAGAAGTCTTTGTAAAAGCCTATTATTTTAGGTCTTTACTAATTACATTCAGAATTATTAGTTCTGGTTAATTATGTTCTAGGCGAGCATTAAAATAGCGTTTACTAATGATTATTTTAATTCATTGGTCTACGTTGACTAAAGGACTAAGTTGTTGGAAAAGAATCAATATAAATTAAGAAGGACACTTCAGTAATTGGCGAGAGTGTATGAGGATTGATATATGTGGTGTAATAATGGGAGTGGCCTTTCAAAACAGGAACTATTTTGCGGCAGAAACTGGAAGGTACGTACTTTGTATACTTATACATATTATTTGCATGAGTAAATTTAATTATTCTGCAATTTCATCGGTTTTTCATAAGAATAGCTAAGTAGTGAAATATTATTCCGACGTCTTTCAAATACTTAAGACTTTATCGTCACTTAAGATCACGTGAAATTGTATTCAAATATGCTGCTTTTTTAATGACACATCCAGAGAACTATAGTGTTATGTCTGTAATTTCACTCCCATTATCAATCTTTCCAACCGAAACACTGCTATACAATAACAGCTGATTCACGGCAGTAACAGGAATAGGACAAAGGTACCAGAAAAAAGAAAACAGACGATTTTTGTATTATCATCATCATATCAGCTGTTATCTGTCCATTGCTAAATCTCTCTCATATACTGCCATCAGGAATGGTCCTGAGTCCTGCAATGTATTTGAGGTCGTCACTCAAGAATCTTACTTCCCCATCAGTTGTCGGTTCTTCTATGTGACCCGTCCATTGCCACTTCAGCTTGTTTATCCTTCAGGCTAAACTCTCATCTTATTTCGGATTCTGTCGCGCAAAGAAACTCCCAGCATAGTGCTTTTCATAGCTCGTTGACAAGCTTAAAGCTTTTGCATACGGACAAGCGTGTAAGATTATGTTTCGCTTCCATAGGTCATCACTGGCAACACGCATTGTTTAAATATTTTCGTCTTTAAATAAATGTAAATATTTATTTTAGTTTCTGTTTAGCACTACTACTATCCATTCACTACTTCCTACGCCACTATATTAGTTCGCCTTTGCTAACTTTGTTATTAATTTGTTGTTATTACTATTTGTTTTAGTGCAATAAAAATATCTATATTTTGGATGAGAAGATGCGGTGTAATTTTCCAATCGCTGCCCAGCCATGTTGGATTCGTCAGTTGACCTCTCGGTCAAAGTTTACCTTATCTACTTGGACAAATTGTCCCAGGTATACATACTCGTCGACAACTTCAAGCGTAGTGTCCACAATAATGACCGGTATAGGTGTGACACGGATGTTAGACATGATTTTAGTCTTGTCCATGTTCATCTTAAGGCCTGCCTGTTGAGAAGTATTATTAAGGACATTGAGCATAGTATTCAAGTCCTCCAGGGACTCTGCCATGATTACTATATCATCGCCAAACTGAAGGTAAGTGATGTATTTGCTATTTATGTTTATACTATATCTTTTCCAGTCCAAGGAGTTTGAAAACGTCATCCAATGCAGCTATGAAAAGTTTCAGGGATATGACGTCATGCTACCATGGGTTTCGTACTCTGGTGCTGTACTTGGATAGACATCATAGCCTTATTGTATATATACTTCAATATACCTACAGTTAATCCGGCACCGCTGTAGGAACTGTAATACCGCTCGTATTTCGACCGAGTTATAGGCTCCGCCCATTTCTTTGTCATGGGTGTCGTAAGAGGCAACTAAGGGAACTTAATAGTCGAGGAATGGGTAGCAATGTCCTTTTTAAAACATCGTCAAAGCCTAACTACGTTTCCAACCCGACTGCCAAGCGTGTCAACTACTAGTAAAACCGTTCCTTATGGGGGAGGCCTATGTTCAGCATTGGACAGTTAACGACTTATACGATGATGATGATTATGATGATGACGGACGAAGTTATTGTAACAGTTAGTCCTTATTCTTACTAATCACGTATTATTTGAGATGGTGAAGAACAAACGTTATTTTTATCTTAGATCAATCAACAAATCCCGGTTACGAGGACAGAGTCGTATGCAAAAGTTAGTAATTTAATAAAGATAAACCTTTACCGCATTGTAAAATGCAATACGCGTTGATTCGCATCGTTTGATGTATGCATACATAAATAATGTATGTACTAATTAATGTGATAGGACCGCTTCACTGTAAAAGCCTATTAATTTGGTTTTCTGCTAATTACATTTAGTTTTATTAAGTAGTAGGTAGTTAATTATATGATGGGTGCCAGCCGTAAATCTTTCAATTAAGTACATGGTGTTTAATATATCTAATATATCTAATCTTAATATATCGCTAATAATGTTATAAATGGCCTCGTGGTCCCTGCATAGAATAGGCCACCCCTACTTTCTACGTGGGTGTCGTACGTCGACTAAGGGAGGGTGAGGAATGGACAGTAACGTTCCTCTTAAAACATCTCCAAAGCCTAACTGCGGTTGCTTATCCGTCTGCCAAGCGTGACAACTACTGGCAAACACTCCCAAGGGGAAGATTTATGTTCAGCTGTGGACAGTTAAAGACTGATATGAACTGATGATGAATGTCATAAACCCTTACTAATATTATAATTATTAAAATGACTTCGTTTGTTATCTTTTAGTGGTTTAACGGCTCAACCAATATAAAATTGTCATATGTACTATATGAGATGGAGAAGGACATAAGGATTAATTTGATCAATAAACATACCCCTACTTTACGAAGGAAATCGTGGGTAAAAGTTAGTATAGAATAATTCTACTTTTTTACGTTACTTGAAATTACAAACAACCGAACTACCTGCCTAATGGAAAGCGCAAAAGAGAAAAGAACGAAGCAGTACACAGATATAGTTTGACGCTTGTACTGTGACTGTATAAATCAAAGTAAAACGGTGTATGTATTAAATTTAAATCATCTTTATTCAAATACATTTGTTTACAGGCACTTTTAAATCGTAATTTTTTTTAAATCTAATGCAGGGTCGAAAATTGTTATCTGTTAAAAAGAGCCCGCAAGAAACTCTACAGTTATTCTTTTAAATCTCTGTTAACATTATGTGTATTTATTTATATGTACTATGTCTAAAATAACATGGTAAAATTACATGTAAAGATGCTTGGCAAATAAACGTTTGGATGTTTGTTATTCAATCACGCATAAATGATTCAGGGGACTCTTCGTGAGGTTATGGCATGATTTCTAAACTATATATCGTGATAATAATTATAATAAAAGGTTACAAAATATTATACTTTGTTATTTATGACAAGATTGATTTTCAGTATTTCGAAAAATGCCGCGAATCATTGTTGTTATCTTGTAAAATATTGTAAATCATCAGTATTGGTATAATTTATTTTTTTCATTTATTTTTGTAGATATGCAAGATACAATTAGAATTATAATTATTCAACTTATAAATATACATGTAAATATGGTTTTATTTTAATTTCATTTTATTTGGAAATTTATTTCCAATCCTGATATACCCATTTGATTGAAATATTAAATGGGAAAACATAATGAACCTACATTAAAATTTTCCCATTTAATCCTTAAGAAAGTGGCTTTATAATATGCAGAACAACCTGTATAATCGATATCAATAACAAAGTTACAGTTAACATTGACATATATAGAGATAGACGAGGCAAGGAGTCACCTTAATTTATATAAAAACCATGCTGGTCGTAACGAAACTACATACTTGCCGTGACATTACAGAAACTATTTATTAAGTTGGTGGACTGTAGGGCGCTTGAGTGAGGTTTTATGGAATTTAATTTATTTGTTACAAGCGACATAAGAGGGGAATACAATGTAAACATAGTGTTACCGTATTATTGAAACTACCAAAATTATTTTGAAATTTCCAATATTAACATGCATTAGTAACATTCGATACAATTTCAGTATTTATGGTAATAATTTATTGTAAGAAATGTATTGATATTTAGCCTTTTTGAGCATATTTGAATATTTTATTTTTAATTACTCTTTAAAATTAAAACATATAAATACGATATCAAAATTTATGAACAGTATATTTAATTTATTTCAGTATTACCTTTAGCTACGCAATTTTTACATTATATTTCAGTTCTTTTTCAGTTCTCAAAGATTGACTGTAAGAGACCCATCTTTGGAAAAAGTCAACCACTATATATTAAATCTTTTTAATGTATAATAAAAATCGGTATAAGTAATAAGATACGATAACCGCTTACCATCAGGTGAGCTGTATGCTTGTTTGCCATCACAGTGATATAAAAAAAAAATTACAATTACATCTATTTAAATTTACATCTGTGAACTAAATATATTCATAATCTCACTGCAATAAACTACGTGGTTTATTGTTCGCTCAGTCATCGGTTGGTAATTTCAGATAACTGATACAAAATGAGCACTGACATAAATAAGCAAGTCAAGCCATTTGATTCTTTTCAAGTTTTATATGATATACTATCCTGGACAGGTTATTTAAAACCAAAAAATGCATCAAGTCGAGCTAAAAAATACTTAAATACTTTTCATTGGTTGTTGACGATTTGTATAATAACCTATGTTAATGCTGGCCATATTATCTTCATATTTACGGTACGTATAATATAATAGTAACTACTTTTACAATTTCGTAATTATAAGCGATTTGGTTATCTGTCAAGTATAAGAATTTTCGCTGGAATATATAGGCGATCGTCATTAGAATATATTATATAAAAGCAATTCATTTATTTACTACATGATTAATAAATTGACACATTTTTAGCCGACTTCAAAAAAGGAGGAGGTCTTATGTACACACGTCAAAAAGGAGGTGGTTTGTAATTGGCCCATATTTTTAGTGTCTAAGTGTGTATAAACATTTTGCGTGCAAATTCTACTGGTTTTATAAATGTGAAAGTTTGTAATAGTGTTTGTATATCCATCACGTTTAAAAGGTTAAATAAAATTGAATGAAATTCGTAAATATCAGCGTTATTTAAACGATATTTATCTTTCAGAGCAATGACAAAAATGCGATATTTGAGACGATGATATTAGAAATTACTCAAATAAATGCGATATTCAAGTTTCTGAGTTTACAAACTTCTAAGTTGAGTAAAATAAACGACGTTATCAGCGGTAAAATAATTTTACAATCTTACTAATGTTATACATTTCAGAGTTTGTAATAATATTTGATTGTTTGTTACTCATCATCATTACAATTCATCCATTTCGCCACAAAGTAAGATTTTGCGTCCTTCAACACTGAAACTTCAACTTTCAACACCTTGAAATTACTCCGTCTTTACGCTTACTTGCATGAGATCACGGGATTACATTGCTCAATCACGCTTAAACGGATAAAGAGACTTGAATGAAATATGGGTTCAGATATAAATTATTAGTTACCGATTTTTTCGTAATTTTTTTGTTGGCTGGAATTCATAATTAGAAACACATAAGAAATATTGCCAACCTAAATTTCATGTAAACTTGTTTACCCGATATTGGAGTGTTTTTTATAAACCAGGGAGTTTGAGGGCAAAGTTCTCCGCCAAGCAATAAAATAATTGGCAATCTAAATTTCACATAGGCTAATTTAATCGATACTAGATGATTGATGATGCTAGACTTGATAATTTTTAAAATTAAATACCTCAAAATAAAACTAATTTATATACGTTTCCTACACATTTTCTTGGGGGAGTTATAGGAGTTCTCCTCTTTTCCATTTACCTACTTTTTACGTATAAGTTTTAATGACAAATACGTTCAAACCGACTTTTACAGATCTTTTTCCTATTTTCTTAATAATCCTACCAATTTTATAAGTGCGAAAGTTTGTGAAAATATCGATTATATTATATTACCGATTATATTATTTTTAATTATGTTATTATAATATTGTTTAAAATATTTGTATATTGTTGCACTGTTTTTATAAAACAGTTTCTATTATTAATATTAGATTAATTGTAACTCAACCTCGATTGAGTTACAATTAATCTAAAACTATAATAATTCTTCCATATTAATTTAAATGTGAAGGGCTTCCGCTGAAAATTAGCATTTTGGCTTCTCGGTTGCAGCATAACGCTGAGCAGAGACCATTTCGGCAAACATTATTAATAATGCCTATACTTTTATACATGTTATGTTACTCTATATAAACCTTTTTTGTAAGTGTAAAAATATTTTCTAAATAAATTATTATTATAATTGAATGTCTGTACGAATTTTAATTAAATATGGCACAAATATGAACCGTATCGTAGAATATTTTTTATCTTGAAATATTGATGACGTGAGATAATTAAATCTTTATCATTTAATACTTAATAATATTATAAATGTGAAAGTGAGTTTGTTTGTTACATCTTGGCGCTTTAACGGCTCAACTAATTATCTTTTTCTATTCAAAACAGTCTTATCAATATATATAGGTATCCCACGATGGTATGACATTTTTTTTTTTCCGCGGGGTAGTTCCGTGCATCAGACGTGTTTTGTTTACGCTCCAAGTAATAAAATAGAAATTATTATAAAAATCAACTAGTTCCATATAAATTTCATAGAGGAATAATTCTAATGGTAGGATCTTCAAAGTGACACGGTTTGCATTTACTACAGTGAAGTATCATAGTAGAAAATAGTAAATTAATAAGTGAATTAGATCGAGTGTGATTCGTGACATTATCATCTACCCACATATTTTGGATTATATCACCTTTTTGCTCACTGGTTGTATGGATTGTTACTAATTATATTTCATAGCATTATAACATTGTGGCTCTGCATACCAGGCCTGTGAGTGAATACGGGATCAAATCGCGATTCGAACGGTTATTATTGTTGTATATACATATATATATATATTGCACAATTCAAAATGAATACGCTAAGGAAGAATAATATTGTCTGCGCTGGGTGCTTGAATGGTATCGAAAATAAGCGATGTTTGATCTGCAGTGCCTGTAAACAAAACTATGATTTGGAATGTGCTAATGTATCAGAGTCACGTTTCTACAACACCATGACACAGAAACATAAAGACTCCTGGAAGTGTCTCTCATGCAAGTCAAGGGTTCCAAAAAAGGACAACACAAATACTCCTATCAGACCGGAGGCAGACAACGTGACACAGAGACGCGGGGGTGGTGCGCTCTCACCGGACCGTTCTTCGGCTTCACCGGAACGTATGGCGAACACGACTACAAATGAAATGCTGCTAAAGGAAATACGTCTTCTTCGAGATGACATGAGGGAGATGCATTTGCAGATGCAATCGTTTACCGATACTATTAGTAGTTTAAATTTAAGGATGGATGCATGTGAAAACCGATTGGATGAATTGGGTATACGTATGGATAAAATGGAACGACGCACTAGCACTGATCCCGTGTTCCAAAGTGACACATCACTGTTACAGTCGATTGAAAACTTAAAAATCGAGCTCAATGATAGGGATCAAGATTTGTTGCTCAATGACCTTCAGATCTCATGCATACCTGAACAAAAGGGAGAAAATGTCACGCATAATGTGATTAGCATAGCTAGCAAGTTGGGCATGCAGCTGACAGTGCAAGATATAACCAGTGCAGTGCGGGTCGGAAGGTTATTAGATTCTGATAATAAAGTCTCGAGTCGACCACGCTTGGTGGTGGTACGACTGGCGCGTCGCGCCCTGCGTGATCAGTTGCTCCAGGCTGCAAGGGTTCGTCGTGGTGCCACTACAGAAGGCACAGAGATTCCAGGGCCACCAAGTAAATTTTATATAAACGAAAGACTGACACAAAAAAACAGACAGTTATTTCAGCGAGCACGTGAGCTTGGAGTACGCCACAACTGGCGATACGTATGGACAAGGGACGGCAAAATATTTGTAAGGCAACATCAAGGTGAGGATACACCACGGTATCGTATACGTACAGATAAAGATCTTACCAGGGTTTTTGGATCGGCGGCCGTTCAATAATAAATATCTCTTTATTATATATCTTAAATTTATTTATAAGCTATTTCCTTTAATGTTTAAACGATTTAAAGTTAAATATAATTCAGTAAGTTATAAAAATTATGGAATAGTGTATTTATGTAGATTTGAATGTGTTAATAGTATAGCCTTACCAGTGCAGTCTTACTTAAAATGTCTATCTGTATGCTATAAAAATGTATATATATGCGGTGGTTACAGTGCCTCTTTACTATTATTTTATGTTAAGTATCAATCTTTAAATTATGAAAACAATGTGGTAATCTTAAGCATTGATCATGGAGTTTTTTTTTGCTATTGTTTTCTATTAGATGTCAACCTGGTACCTGTAAAAATAGCTTATTATATTTATATGTTCATTGTAGTGATATGTTACTGTGTTTTTTTAAGAAATATCAATCTAGATATCATATAAATAGTGTTGTGTATTTGTGTATTGATTGGTGTACCTGGTTATTATTGTTTTTTATTCAATACGAGTATGAATATTTAAAAAGTGTAGTAGTATATTTTATTAATTGGAACAATAGTTTACTATTATTTTCTGTTGCATATCGATATATAAATCATTGGGACGATTTTTTATGTATGTTCATGGATATTAATACCACATTAATACTATTTTTTGTTAAATATCAGTCGACAGGCTGCGTCCTGTATTTATATTTTGATTGTAGTGCCTACTTACAGATGTTTTTTATTAAATATCAGTTTGTAGGTTCTGGGAATAATGTGGTTAATTTATCTATGGATAATAATGTATTATCACTTCTATCCAGTAATTTATCGAGAATATTCAGATATTTTTTAACCACTTGTTATTGGAAATGCAAACATTATTGTGATAGATCTCTAATTATGTGTCAATGTGGTTTAATGTGTGAACAGAAATTACATAACTCTTGTAACAGATATTTGCTGCCTATCAGTGGAATTAAAATTGATAAGTGTGAAGAAAATGATTAAAAAGTCAATCAGTTTTCGATTAGGTCTCATAAATATACGTTCTTTAAATACCGGTCAGGATGAGCTAGTGGCAGCAGTGAATAACTATGGACTAGATGTGTTGGCAATAAACGAAACGTGGTTAAAGAATGATCAGACGGGGCTAGCGCCTGCGATCCCGGGTTACGTTTTTAAACACCAGGCTAGAAAAACGGGTTCGAGAGGTGGAGGTGTAGGTTTTTATTACAAAAAAGGACTGCGGATACGAGTACTGCCACATCCCACTTCTGATTTAGAGCAGATGTGGGTGGAATTGCACCTTCCGGGAACTGCTCGTTTAGCTATAGGAACAGCATATAGACCAGAGTCAGTCTCGGTAGATACTGCTATTGAAAATCTTAGTAGCTCGTTGGACACTTTTTCGAGTTATGATTCAATTTATATACTCACAGACTTCAATGTAAATATAAATAATAAGGGAGCCTCGTCTACATCTGCTTTGACAGCCTTTCTATTTCAACGAAATCTTTACCAACTTGTTAATGAACCAACAAGGGTGACTGATAATACTTCGTCACAAATAGATCTAGTAATTACTGATACACCGGCCATCTGCTCCGGAGTTTACGTCTATCACAACCCAAAGCTTAGCGATCATGCCATGGTGGTGGCAGAACTTAAAATGAAAAAACCACAGCGAAGTCCGCAATATATATATAAGAGGATTCTTAGCAATATTGATATGAATAGTTTTAATAGTGATCTCATCAGCTTGGACTGGGAAAGTGTAAATAAGATGACAACCTTAGACGCAACAGTTAACCGATTTAACGAACTAATTAACACTTTATTTGATGTTCATGCTCCAATGCGAAAGATATGTATCAATGGCAATAAACCACATCCATGGATTACCGATAACATTAAGATCATGATGAGACTACGCGACTCTGCTCTACGCAGGGCTCGGGCATCGGGAGAGGACAGTCATTTTGATTACTATAAAAGTCTTCGCAACTATACAAGTGGTGCCTTGGAGCGCGAAAAAAAGGCTTATTTCACATTTTACATTAATAATAATAAAAACAAACCCAAACAAATGTGGCATCATCTGAAACAAATATGTACTACAAATAATGTAGACCAGTCATTGATACCAGATCATCTTATAAACCCCGACGCTGTTAACAATTTTTTT